CTGTCCGGGCCTCCGAAGCGAACGCACGCACGCACGCGCAACGTAATCTCTCTTCCAAATGCACACTAGGAGCACAACGAAGACGGAGTAAAGTGGCTAGAGTGAGTGGCTAGTTCTGTATGAAAGATCTTTGGGTAGATAGGATCATATCATCATAAAGGCATGATGGCAACTTTACCAATCTGGAGCGAAGGATTTAAAGGAATAATAGAATCAAAGAAAGTAGAAAACATGACGAGGAGGGGACTGTTTGGGTACGACTTCAAAATCAAATAAGCAAGCAAGTCAGACAAGTCATGAACAATGCAAATCAAAAATCACGAAAGGAAATACCGCAGTACCATGATACCATTGTTCGAACAGGTCCCTACAATACAAGGTCTCATGAAATCATATAGAACTTCCTCCATGTGAGTTCGTACAGCGAAAGAAAGAATTGAATCGAAGGATCTACATATCTTTTAGTAATGACTGTGTATTTTTTCCGCTCATGAAGAAAGAATACGGGAAAAGAAAAAATTATCCGATATCCAATTAACGCGAGACATTTCCAAGAATTCGCAAACCCCTTTCAGATACACGCTCCGATTTGATCATTGTGGCCAAGAGCTGACGTTTCAGATTATAGTACATGTAGTTTCAAGCTTGGATGGCGGGGGGATGCTTTCACTTTATGATCCTTTAGACTTAATTCGTCAACCGATGAGATCTAATAATCCTTGTCTTTTATAAATTTCAAAAGTACTGGCCGCTACGTCGCGGCCACAAGCATATTAAGTTAACGAGGCGCCAAAATTTAAGATGTGATGAAGGAGGTACGCGAAGGTGATGATGAGATGACACGAATACAAGTCTTTTTTAATTCTTGAAGGATGACACATTCTGCTTTGTATACAAATACACTATAATGGCTTCAAGAATCCTTCCATAGCCAGAACAATCCAATCGATACAAATGATGTTTCTAGATCTGATCACGGCAGTGGCGTGCGGATCAAATTCCTACCGTATATTCTGACATTTCGAAACATTGCACAATCACATTCAGATAATCCGAGAATGAAGAAACGCATCCGAGTCAACTTGGATAACAATAGGCGCCTCCATCGTTTTGCATTCATCTGAGAATTCAAAAATGGAGTTGTATCGAAAAGCTTAGCATCATTTGAGTTAATTGTTCACAGTCGGGTAGCCTTTATTGTGATTACACGGAAGACATGGTTGAATCTGTAAATCATTACGGAAGAGATCTGAAAATGGATTTGACCAAGCAAAAAGTTATATTGGAGCGAGAATTAGTACTTGCTGGGCATTCAAAGTGATACTGATGTGAACATAGATGTTAGACTTCATACAAGTTTATGGGGAAATAGTTGATCGTGATTTAAACAAAGGCCTTTTCTCTTGGTATTCTCTTGGTATCGGCACATTCAGTGCTCTAGAATATAGAATCCCCGAATGACCGGTATTGATTTCGGAAGAATATATTCGAAGTTCTAGGTATCTCAAACGACTTTCCATTGAATCCTTCAAATACAATTGGCTAATAAATTTTCAATCTACCAAACCGCTCTAACTGCCCTATTTTCAGGGGGAAGTAGATGGTGCCAAATTTGGAACCAATCAATATGTACTAAGACATTCATCGCTAAACACTTCCATTCATATCCTTTAGTATTGAACTATGGATGAGTCCGTCGCCCTCAAAAAGTTTGGTGTATTCGAGGTCAACGTCAGCCTCAACGCTAAGTCTATCCCTATGGAAAATCAACAGCCACTTGAGTACGAATCAGAGAGGCTAATTCAATGATTTTCAAAGACTACTCTTCTAAAAGTAAATCCTCATCAGCCAAAGAAAAACGTCGTCGGTGACATTGCCAAGCTCCAGAATATCTTAGGGCCCCTGAATCTCACAGGGTCCATAACATTACTAATCTAACCATCATTTTGCCTCTTTGTACAACTCTACTTCATGAATTTGGGTGTACCATGTTGTGACTTTCCAGGGCTTTTCATACACGATCCAATTATGAGCTGTCTCCAATTTCAGATTGCCCAAAAAATCTACCAAACTCTCCGTATTCAGACTTGACCGGATATGACTATTCTAATCTAGGTATAGTCATTGAATATCTGTAACCTTTTCTCACAACCCCGTACCTTTAAAATCTTTTTTCATACCAAAATCCCCACCATACTGTACAATCAAGAACAAGGGTCAAGTAGAAAGTCATGTCAATCCCAGAGCCTTCCTCGAAGCACAGACAACGCCATGAAGGCCAGGAGAAAGATCAAACACGCATACCCAGCTACTCAAGACGTTAGGGACTTTTCCTGAATAAGTATCATTCTCCACCATTATGCCGCAGCTTGTGTCTGGCATCCAGCTTTGGCGTTTGAACCTTGTCTTCAAACTTGCATATCAAGCAGTCTTAAAGCTTCATGCGCAAACTTCATATTTCTTCTACTTATTCTTCGTGAAAAGCCGCGTGTTTTCGTTTTAGTTTCCATTACTCTCTCTATCTCTATCCATCTCCATACCCGGAACACTCCAGGTTTCTTGGCTTGTTTTTTTATAGTTGCATTTCCAGTCATCGTTCATATATCTATTTACATTTCCTTCATAATAATATCGGGGCCGGCATCCATTTTTCTTTCTCAGTTCATATTTTCCAGCGATCTTCTTTTCTCTTGTGGTCTGGTCTATCTCAAGCAGTAGCATTAGTCTTTCATTCACACAAGCCAACCACCCTTTTCTTTTTATACAACCACCTGGCGTGGCTCTACCAATCATTCAAGATGCCTTCATTACTTCAAGCATTCTATGTCCTCGCACTCATCAACTTGGTCCTCGCCGCTCCACACCCAGCACAAAAGCGAAGCTTCAAAGTCGAGCGAGTCGCAAATCCTAATTATGTCGGTCGAACAGCTGGTGCCGGTACAAGAGCTCTCATCAAAGCATACAACAAGCATTCCATGACTCTCCCAGCATCATTGGTCGCGGCCATGAACTCAGGTGCCAACCCTGCCTTCCCAGAAGGAAACTCCAAAGCCGCCACTGGAAGCACAACGGCAGTAGCCGCAGCCGCAAGCGGTAGTGGTAGCGCAGCTGCAGGAACTGGTCTTGTTACTGCTACACCAGAGAGTGGAGATGTTGAGTACTTGTCGCCAGTCAACATTGGTGGACAAGTTATGAATATGGACTTCGATAGTGGATCGTCCGATCTCTGGGTTTTCAGCACTCAACTCGCAACCGCTTCCCAATCTGGTCACCAGAACTTTGATGCCTCTAAATCAACAAGCTTCAAGGCAATTCAAGGTGCTACTTGGTCCATCTCATACGGTGATGGATCTGGAGCTGCTGGTAACGTTGGTACAGACACTGTCAACATTGGAGGAGCCACTGTCACTGGACAAGCAATTGAGATGGCCACCGCAGTCTCCGCATCCTTTGTCTCCGATACCCAATCTAACGGACTTGTCGGTCTCGCATTCTCTAAACTCAACACTGTCAAGCCCGCTCAACAGAAGACCTTCTTCGATAACGCCATGTCCCAAGGTCTCGCTCAGCCAGTTTTCACTGCCGATCTCCGCAAAGCCGCTGCTGGATCTTACGAATTCGGAAACATTGATTCTACCAAATTCAACGGATCCCTCACCTGGGCTGCTGTTAACACCACTCAAGGATTCTGGCAATTCAGCTCCGGTAAATTTTCCGTTGGAGGAGGTCCCGAGACCGCTGTACCAAACGGACAAGCTATCGCTGATACCGGAACCACTCTCATGTTGGCTGATGCCAACATCGTCAACGGTTACTATAGCAAGGTTCAAGGTGCTGTCAACAACCAGACTGTCGGTGGTGTTACATTCCCTTGCGCTGCCACTTTACCAGACTTGGCTATCGATGTTGGAGGAACCTACATGGCTACTGTCCGTGGTTCTGATATCAACTATGCTCCTGTTGACAACACTGGCACCAGTGAGTTATGACCTGATCTTCTTTCTTCTTGAACAATATGCTAACATTAATTGCTCACAGCCTGTTTCGGAGGTCTCCAAGCCACTACCTCCAACCTTCAAATTTACGGTGACATTATGTTCAAGTCTCAATTCGTCGCATTCAACGGAGGAAACAACTCCCTTGGAATGGCTCCTCATCAATAGAGTCTTTTTCTCTTTTCTTTTTAGATAATCGTTCCCGGTCTTTGTTGTATAAAGTAGCATAATAGAGGCGCATAGATGTCGAGCTACTGTTTTGGGTGTTGGGAGATGGGAGATGGGAGATGGGAGATGGGAGATGATCAAATGGGCTGGGAGGATTTATGGAGAGGAGGCTGTGCATAGGAAAAAATGGAGATGTATGGAAAGGAAACAATCAAACATTCACCAAGGATAAGACTGAATGAATATATGATTTCATGTTTTGTATCTATAATAATTGAACTTTATCTTGAAAAATTAGGTAATCATTCTTTAATATATCATCGTCTTAGGGCAATGCATAGGTATCTATATTTGGTAACCATAAAACTATCCTGGCCATCCACATTGTCTTTGTATTTACAAGGGCTCGTGACTAACTACCTACTTACACCTGAGGACCTTTGGATTCGGCTGTATCTTGTCTCCATGATTGGTCGGACGCGAATTCTTCCTCAAGCCATAATGAATCATCAAACCTTAAGGTTCCTAATATTCGAGATGTCCAAGATATGTTCATAGCCCTACATGCTCGTTGCAGAACCAGCGGTAACGACAGGTAGGATCGATTCCTTTTAGACACAGACGCAGACGCAGACGCAGACGTTTGCTCCAAAATACATCTTCATGCTCCATTATCTTACATCAACTGCTCATCATGCACACTTACAAACTCACATGATGTTGAGATTCTTGAACTATAATTTCTGATTTTTTTTCATTCTTAATACCAATTTGGAGTATCTATAATCTAAAGGTATGCATGTACCAAGGTAACGCCTAAAACACAAAACTTGATATTTATTCCAACTCGATAGTTCCAGGAGGCTTGCTAGTGTAATCATACACGACTCTGCAAACACCGTGAACTTCGTTGATAATTCTTGTAGAAACCCGGGACAAGAATGCATTCTCGAAAGGATACGCGATGGCAGTCATGAAATCGGTTGTTTGAACTGCTCTCAGGATAATGATATTTCCATACATTCTCTTGTCACCCATAACACCAACAGCTCTGCTTGGATCAACAGCTGCAAAAGCTTGTCCAATGTTGTCATAGAGGCCTGCCTCTCTGATCATAGAGATAAAGATATGGTCGGCCTTTCTGGCCATTTCGACACGTTCACGAGTAACTTCTCCCAAGACACGAATGGCAATACCTGGACCTGGAAAAGGATGGCGCATAACGAGTTCATGGGCAATGCCCAACTCTCTTCCCAGTTGTCTAACTTCGTCCTTGAACAATTCTCTCAAGGGTTCGATAAGTTTGAGTCCTTGACCCTCTGTCATGCGTTTTGGAAGACCACCAACGTTGTGATGAGTTTTGATAGTCGCGGAAGGGCCCTTGAATGAAATACTTTCAATAACATCTGGGTATAATGTTCCTTGCAAGAAGAACTCAATCTTGCCTGCTTTGTCGGAGTTGGCTGCTGCGTCTTCAATCTTTTTGGCTTCGGCTTCGAAAATATCAATGAATTTTCCTCCAATGAATTTTCTCTTTGCTTCTGGCTCATCAAGTCCGGCGAGGCCATCGAGGAAATCTTCAGAGGCATCTGCGACAATCAAATTGATGCCGAGATTTTCTGTCAATGTCTTTCGTACTTGTTCGCACTCATTCAATCTCATAACACCGTTGTTGACGAGAACGGCATGGAATCGGTCTCCAATAGCCTCGTGCATTAATTTCGCAGCGACAGTTGAATCAACACCTCCACTGACAGCACCCAAAACTTGACCCTTCTCTCCAACCAATGTACGGATTCTAGCGATCTCTTGATCCACGAATTTTGCCATAGTCCAGTTTGTTCGAGCTCCGCAGATACCGACGGCGAAGTTCTTGAGGAGTTGAATTCCATTTTCGGTGTGGGTAACTTCGGGGTGGAATTGGAGACCTAGAGTCTAATTAGCTTTGGTTCAGGGCGGGAAGATTCTCCAAATAGATAGATCTAAATTCCCGTACCATAGATATGTTGACTCTCGTGTGCAATTGCTGCGTATTCAGAGTTTGCAGTTGTAGCAATAGTATGAAATCCATCTGGCAATGCACCCAACTTATCACCATGACTCATCCAGACTTTAACATCGTCCTCTAATCCTGCGAATAATTGGTCGACACGTCCATTATCAATTTTCTTCGCTTTCAAATCAGCATGTCCAAATTCGCGGGCTGTGCCAGCAATGACGTTGTCTTTGCTAATTCTATAAGCAATCTCTTGCATTCCATAGCATATACCGAGAATAGGAACTCCAAGTTCGAAGAATGCGGGGTCAACGTGTGGTGCACCCTCTTCATAAACTGAGTATGGTCCTCCGGACAAAATGATACCTTTTGGCTTCCATTCGAGATCTGCAAGCTTTTGGGTACATGGAAGCATTTCAGAGTAGACATTGAGTTCGCGCAAACGTCTGGTAATAAGATGAGTGTATTGGGATCCAAAATCCAGAGTAAGAATAGTGTCATAAACCTTGTGAGGTTCAATCTCCGCAGCTGTAGAAGCCATTTTGAATTATTGTTAGGAGATTGTGAGAAGATGTGAGGATATATGGGAGAGCGAGGGTGAAGATTGAATAAAAAGAATATGGGTTGTGAAGGTTGGAATCAGTCGAATATGACTCTGAAGGAAAAATATCGGGAAGAAGAAAAATTTGGTTGTTGCATGCTTATCGGGATGGTGGGCTTAACCTTATCGGAAGGAGCTAAGCTAAGAATAGTTTAGGGAGGGGCAATGGGCCATTGGCAACATGGGGTTTTTCGTGGAGAAAGAGAGAAGAGAGATCTACCAGACATTTGATCAAGTACCGTCTGACAGTATAAATCAAGAATTATTCTAAAATATATGTGTGTGTGTGTGTGTGTGTGTGTGTGTGTGTGTGTGTGTGTGTGTGTGTGCATGTGTGTGTATATGTATAAACACTCAACAATCTTGTCAAGTTGGGTTTTGACTCAATTACTACAGATTTTCTAGAAACCTTTTGTCCATATAGTTAATGGTGACGGGCTAATTTGTCACCAAAGGTAAAGAGAGAGATACAAAAAGTAAGACTTTATGTTCTAGGAATCTAATGGACAAGACGGGTATCTAGGAGAAGCGCATATAGCCGCGTGAGACTGATGGGCAACAATAGCGCCCAAGACTAAAGCACACTGGTCTCACCTCATTGCTCACCCTGAACAATGAGGAGCGTAGATAATTTAAACAAGATTGATCCCACTTTGCGAACATCTTCTTGAAAGAGTATTCGGAAAATTAAGGGTGTGGGCAGTGGAATCATGTTCAATCCTCTATTTTCAGGCCCTGGGATCATCGAATCGCCCATCCAGGCGAAGTTGATCTTATTCATCCATCTTGTTGAGAACAAAATCGATGGTGAAGACAACATCCTTCGTCGTTTCAATGGTCGCCCAATCCTCCCTCGCATGGTTGCTAGTACTTATATCACCTCCAAACTCTGTCTTCCAATCTGTTACATCCCACTCTAAGCCTTGCGTGGTTATGATCGAAGGTTCCTTGACCGGTAATATTCCAATGTGCTTTCCCAATTTCAGCAATTTGCCCTCTTCCTTGATCTTGATTTTGTGTTTTCCAGCCTTAAGAACAAAAGTTATAGCTTCACTAGAAACCAGGTACATCTTGCCCTTGGAATAGTTTGGTTCTTGCTGAAACATATAAAGATGATGAAGTTGTGAAAGAGCCTGATCAACTCTTCCACCCAAACCTCCCAGGCAAATGATATCGAGAGGTCTGGGTAATTGCTTGAGTTGATCGAGTTTCTTCTGACGATGGGAACATGGAGGAGTCCTTTCCGAGTCAACAGGTTGCTCAAAACTTTTGACATATCGCACTGCTTTGGTAAAGTCTGTGGAATACTGATCGCCATCTCTGATGATTTCGGTGCCATTATCCTCAAAATATTTGAAGAGATTGGGAGACATGGAATCGAAGTCGCCAATGATAGTATCAATGTCAAGATGGGTTTCAGCCTTTCTTTCATCTTGGAGGGCTGGGTCTAATGAATTCCCATCGAATGGCTTTTTATGATTCCTGTTATAAACTTGGTTTGCGCCACCATCAGCTGCGATGTGATAGACAGCATTATCCCATAACTTCTTGTAGATGTTAGAAGGCAGCTCCAGAGGCTGGTTTAGGACAACGAGCGCGAACTCTTTATGATCGGCTGGATGATCAGAGAATATATCAGCAGGATGCCAGGTGACAAAATCTTGGGATCCCATAATCTTATAGCGTTGGTGAAGGTTCTAGGGGAAGGTGTATAGATGCTGAGACGAATTTGACCATTAACCTTTCAGCTTGTAAAGTCCTAGCAAGAGGAGAAGAAAGATATACTATCTCCAGCAGTGTAAACTACTTAACGCTGTTATCATGGGGGGCTACAACAAGGAAGCAGGTGAACACACAAACATTCTGCTTGGTGGGAGGAGAAAGTTGAGAACCTAACACTTGCGACCGATATCTTATCTTATCATCAATCACATGATCCAGATATTTTCTCGATTCGGTGATTCGGAAAATCCAGAGATGCTTACAAACACGGCGTTCACATTCGAGTCTGCTATTCTTTGAGATTCCTAATATTTCGTTCGAGTCTTTTCATCTCCACAGTCTTTTTCACAAATTTAGCCCAGCATGTTCAAATCAGTTTTGAGAGTTGCGCCGAAATGCTCACGACCACAGTCTAAATCTGTCATTAATGCCACTCCTGCTCGACGATTCTTAAGTACAGCACCGCCCTCACAAAAGTCCCGAAGTTGGAAAAGCAGCGCTGCAAGATGGACATTGGCAGGCGCAGGAGTATACTGGTATAATACGAGCAATGTTTTCGCCGAAGAACCAGAAGGTATGAGAATACTAGCAGCTAGGAAGCGAATCTCAAAGAGATGCTGATTGGCACAACAGCAATTAAAAAATTAGATGAATCAATACACAGAGTTCGAGAATCAGACTTGCCCACTCTCGATGCGGTAATTGAAGAAAAGCGAAAACGACAAGCCGAATTAGCAGCAGAACAAGAGAAAAGGGAACACGAGTCGGCCGCGAAAGCAGTTGCTGCAGAAGATGGAGCTGAGGAGGAAGGAGAGATGGAAGGACTAGAAGATGAAGCTGGCGAACAAGGCGCATTCAATCCGGAAACTGGTGAAATCAATTGGGATTGTCCTTGTTTGGGAGGAATGGCACATGGACCTTGTGGGGAGGAGTTCAAAGCTGCGTTTAGCTGTTTCGTTCACTCTACTGAAGAGCCAAAGGGTGTTGAATGTATAGAAAAGTTCAAGTGAGTCTGCAGGTCTGGAACATCGACGATAGATCAGGACTAATAATGTTTAGGGGAATGCAAGATTGCTTCCGAGCTCATCCAGAGATGTATGCATCAGAATTGGAGAACGAGGAGGATGAGATAGAGGAGGAGCTTCGAGCAAGAGAAGCGGCAAATGGATCAGAAGAGGGTGGCTCGGAACCGTTGTCTCAAAAGGCCGCAGTATCAGGAAAACCCGAAGAAAAATCGGAGAAGAAGCCTGAAGGAAAATCAGAGCCAGCGAAGCCAACTGCACCAAAAGCTATCGAGTCCAATTCGGATTCTACGGAAGAGAAACATAGGGATAGCCGAAACAGCACAACACCTGAGTCTACACAAAATTCGGGGGATGAGGGGGGAGAATTATTACCAAGAGCTGCCCATGATGCTACAACAAAGAAATAAGTCCTTTAGACTGTAATTTTATTGTACAAATGTAATACCAAAAAAAAAGAAGAAACCAGCGGGCAGTGTTGTTATTTTGTATGTATGATATATGAATACTCAACTCAACTCATGATAGTTTGAATGGTGTTGATTTGTACCTACGTATTAGATGTAGATGTAGATGTACCTATGCAGTGTTGCGAATCTTCCTTTCCCAGACTTGGAAAGCTTTGATGACACGAGCCTTCTATTATTTTATACAAAACTGCTATTGCTATCATTCTAAATATCGCCGACAACTTATATCGAAATGTTGATGTATGTTTGTATCGCTTGTGCTACGATATTTTCCTTGTTGGTGATTGTGTTGTACCTATGTATGAATAAGTGCTTTCAAGAGTCAAGAGAGTCTAGAACCTAGAATCTCTCTCATTCCATTCCACCATTTGAGCCGCCTACGTCAACAGATGAAAACCCACTTTAAGCGAGAAGATCCAGCTTACGCCACATCCACATCCACATCCACATCCACAAGCCACAGCCACACCTTCATTGAAATCTTTCCCGGTTTCTCACATGTTTCCCTTGTTCGCACACGACATTTTATCGTTTACAATACTTCTACTTCTCGTCAACTTAAAACGTCCATCTTGATATATTCACATCCTCTCGAAAGACACCCGCAAATTCTCATATTACACATACATCTTTCCATCCATCACACCCACCCATATCATATAAAAGATGTCTTACGCACAAGCAGCAGCTTCAGGTCCACAGCAGACTGATGAGGAGGTATGTTTGAATTTCTCTTAAACTCCTCTACATTTACTTTGTATCCTCTCAACCCGTGTCTCCTTTCTCATCGTCGTCAAAGGAATCCCTTCTACCTCCGACGATATTTACTACTCATTCAGGTCAAGAACTAATCATCCCACCACAGAAACGTGCTCCTGCCCCACCATCTGTCATCCCCACCGAAAGTGCCTCCACCTCCTCCTTAATTGACGTCGACACCGATTCCGTGCACACTGTTCCTTCAGACTTCCAATCACAGCCAGTCCAAACCGAGACACAAGCCAACCGTCTTGAGCAAGAAGCTGAACAGATTGAGGCTAAGCTTCGCGCTGCAAAGGATGCCGCTTCCAAGAAATCAAAGAAGGGCAAGAGCCGTGTTCAAGAGAACAGTGATAACCCAGTCGTGATTGGAAACGCGATCGCCGTCGCAGCATTGAGCACTGGATTGGGATTCGGAGCATATTCGAAATACGCCAAGGGAGAGTTGACATGGAAGGTCGTGGGTGCGTGGGCTGGTGTTGTGGGTGCTTTGGCTGTTGGAGATTATTACTTGAGCTCGTACCTTTTCAAGACCAAGTACCCAGCCAAGAAGTAAAGGAGAGATGGAGAGGTGAAGAACTACGGCTTGAGAGGAGGCAGGATATTCAAGGGATCATAACTATTATGTGTGATCAATTGGCTTGTGGTGGTCAATTTCTAAATGTTACGACATGGAGATGCTTTGTATTTGGTGGTGTTACTGCGACTGCGGAACTCTCCCCTCTTTGCGCTTTTTGGAATCGATATCAGTGCGGTTTGTGCAGTCTATATCAGTGGGATAATGCACCTGTTCATAGATCAAGGTTTGCACTTTCAACAAAGGACGATTTACGACATTGTTTGTTTTTCTAATTGGTGAAATTCTTCCATGTCTTTTCAAACAAGCACTATTTGATATGAGCGACCTACACTAGGCGTCAAATACTTCCTCCCAAAAATAATCTACAGGAACAATCGTAGTTGACTTACAAGCTTCTTTCGGCGCCGTGCAAGCGAGCATACTTTTGTCTGGAATTGGAATGTATCTTCGTAGCCCCCCACTTGGCTACAGACACTGGGTGACGTAAATTCCATATAGCTATCTACATATATAACCTTCACTGTATTCGGGCAAATGGATTTTAAGAAATTAGTATCTTAATTTTTTGTAGGAGTCGTGCCCCCAACTCTTACATATCCAGGGCTCAAACTCCAAACGGGTGTCATGCTCGATATTAATTTGTACGCCATCCTCCCACCCAATGCGCCGTCAAAAATCATAACCCTACATCCATACAAATTCCTCTTAAACTTTTCCTCTACTCACTGACATCCACCCAGCCTCAGTCTCCTTACTTTTGAAAATGCCCCAAAACTTTCCAACATCTTCACAACTTCTATCCCCAGCTCCATGCTCATGAAAAGAACATACTTTTTCATCATAAAACTTGGTCCTAACATCCTTCCATCCTTCCGCCCCTCTCAAAAGTCCAACCACACTTTTATACAGAGACGGATATCTCAACCCTAAATCAGCCAAGCTATCCTCCGAGATACTATTCCCAGCCGTAGACGAAACTCCTTCTGGAAAAAGTAGCATAATGGCATACCACCTTGCCATCCATCTCCTCAGTCCACAATCCCGATCCTTTGGGCCCACCGGTTCCGTTAACTCAAACGCCAACTCAATTGCAAAGACATTCGGTGTAAATCTCTTCTCCACATATCTTCTTCCTAAGCCAGTCAATACTTTATCCATCATCTCCGTCATTCCCAATTGATGCGTCAACGCGTAGACTTCTATTGCTGCACAACTTGGTTTATTTCCTTCGTTTTCGAATCCGGCGTCCAGAGTACCGCGGTATAGCCATTTCATTATGATGGAGAAATGTTCCGCGCTAATTTTGGGTAGATAGTGGTCTTCTTTTTCTTCGCTGAGTTCGTCATTGTTTAGGAAGATGTCTGCGAAGAAGGGGGATTTGGCGCAGAGGAGTCCGCGGTGGATGCTGAATTTTTTGCGTTTGGGTCCGATGTAGAGGTCTATTATGGGACTATCGAGCATGCTGTTGGATTTTTGTTAGATGTAATATTCTAATGTATAAGGCAATATTGATATGTAACATGTGAGATTGTTGAGAGAACCTACTCTTCGTACGATGGCTGTGGCTTGACATTTTTGACCGTTGACATCCTTTTCTTTGCCGACTCTGACTGAAGTCGATGCGTCATCTTGTGTTGATTAACACGGTCTTGATGTTACTTTTTCCTCGCCGTGCTTGCAGTTGTACCATTAAAGTTATCTAGAGATAGCTATCAATCACGTAGACTAAAGTGTTGTACGCGTCGATATTTTTGGAGACGCGCTGTACCGCGCCGAGGCGCTTGGAATTATTTTTCAATCTAATCTGGTGTTCTCACAGTGAAGTATGTGGTGGGATAGAAACTCATTACACTGTCTTTGGTGAATGACATTCTATGGATATTTATCCTGGGAGGGTCTTTAAGAATCATAATATATCCAGCACGTTCCAAATGCATTTCCCTTTGTCGAATGTGATGTATAGCTCAACAAACTTTTATCGGACTAAAGTTAATGAAAATTGCCAGAGAAGTCTGGATGTAGGAATCAGTGTATGGTAAACATGCGAGGAGAGCTTCTCCGAACCACTAGGTCAGTCAACACATATAGCTATCGCAATTCTATTATCCAGTACATCTCATGCAGTGCACCTCGATTCCATGGCAGCTCTCTCTGATATTGTCTTCTTGCTTGTACTGCAATGCTCCCTTTACCGCAACGGTTTCTCAGCATTCAAGGTAGGTATGTAACCACATTCTCCCCCGTATGATTTCTCACTCGAGGAACAGGATTTGACAGCGATTCGATAATCAGAGTCCTTCCAACTAACGGACCTCAAGCGTGGGTGGCCTAAGTCAATGAGAGGGATCCATCTAGTAACTTCAAACTCCCGTCTAATCCAAGCACTTCGAGTTGAACCCAGTAAGGAATGGTGGTGGAAGGTGCTAGGCTTCAGCCCATCTGTTCAATGTCAAATACAGGAACATCTATGCCTCAACCATTGACACTTAATTGTACTTGGTAGAGAACATCTGGGCAGAGCAATTCACGTTTCTCTTTACTTGCATGTAAATAATGTACACAAGGAACAAGTTGTATTTGACTTAGCATGAATTGAATATTGGACCACACGCAATCCCATCACGTCGTTAAAACAAACACAAGCCTATATTTAGCCCCTATTATATTTATCCCGCTCCCTTGCAGGGCAGGCGCCATACACTGACGACATTGATTTTGGTTCTCCTCTTTCCCAACCTCGTTCTTTCCCGATCTCATTGTTTATGCCTTTTCCACAAAATTCCATCTATCTTTCATCTGTGATTAAAATTAAGGATATCTTCATGTGCATAGAATTCCCATTCATCAACGCATTTATCATCGACAATTTCTCTATTTAAAACTTTGGATTCACATCACCGCCATCGCAAACATGCCTTCTGCTAAAGGGAAGCCAACTGATCCCAAGCTCAAGAAGGACATTACTGAAAGTAAAGAACTTTCTTTTTCTTTTCCCCCTCGTGATCCTAAGACCCCTTTGAAATCCCCCTTACCTTTGATTGTGTCCGATCCTTTCTTAACATCTACCAAAACAGAAGTAAAACAAGAAACGAATAAAGATGGTAGCGGTAAAGGAAAGATGGCTGCATGGAAAGTAAGTCATCTGATCCCATAGCGGACAGTATTCCGAGGTTTAAACCTTCATTGATTTCATCTCACACTCTTCTTACGTGGTGCCATATACTAACTACATACTATTACTCCAGGCCAAAAAGATCGGTCAAGAATATGAAGCTGAAGGAGGTGATTACGAAAATGAACCCGGATCCAAAGACAAGCCCACGAAAGGAACACCTGAGAAGAAATCCGAGGAGGAGAAAGCTGCTGAACTGAAAGATTCCGAGAAGGAGAAGAATGGTCATGGCAAGGAAACCGCTGATGAAAAAGCAAATGGATCGGACGACAAGACAGAGGATAAAGAAGTCGGGAAGAAGGCACCCGTTCAAAAGAAACAAGCTGCACCAAAGAAGGAAAAGAAGGTACAAAGACAAGGAACGCGAAGTAGCGCTCGACAACAAGAAAAGTTAGATCCAAAGCCCGCAGCAGAAAAGAGGAAAAACGTTAGTGATGAGGCAGCGGATGAGGATGATGAAGCGACTGAAGAAGAAGAGAAACCTGCGGCAAAGAAATCCAAAAATGAGGAACCAACTTTAGAGGAGCCAAAGTCTGACGAACCAAGCGAAGAGGAAGAAAAAAAGCAACAAGCAAAACCAGAGCCAGAGGAGAAAAAGCCAGAGCCCAAGAAACGTGGCAGAAAGGCCAAAAAGTGAAAGTTTCACTTATCATTTATTCTTCTTCTATGCAGTGTTGAACGGAAATAGCATTGGCGCATAAGGTATCACACAATTGCGCTCACTGGTTTTGGAATGGAATAGGATGAGTATACGAATTTGTATTTTGGAGCGTCTGTTTACTACTCTTTGCTTATTGGGGCTCCATCTTGGGGAGCATTCTCTCTTTATTTTATATGACGAAGCATGTATCATTATTGTTGATTTGCTCTCGCTGCAGTAGCAGTCATTCAAAAATGGATATTACACTTTATCATGAACGTCTGTCTAGCTGTTCACATCATCTTGGTTTTCATTCTGTGTGAGTGAAACAGCTTCTATGTCTATGGTAGCTGATGTATGGACAATTGGATTTCAGGATATCACGATGCGACCTCCAAGTCAGTCCTATTTCCATTACATCAACTTCTTCGTCTACATCCACTCACTCCCCACCACCCACTTTCTCCACACCACCTCCACCCCGTTCTCATCTCTTCTGTATGGCTTCTTCAAAGTCTTGATCATATATTTTCTTAAACTTCTGTCTTCCATCAAATTAACCATTAATTCGGTCGCTTAGCTCAGTTGGTTAGAGCGTGGTGCTAATATCTCATCTGATTCATCAGCAAGGTTTGGCACGCCAAGGTCGGCGGTTCGAAACCGCCAGTGATCAATTTGTTTTTGCTCCGCTCAAGAGCTTCGTTTTTATTCTAACAATTAATATGAATCAGTCAAGATCTGACAGATAGATAGTAACGTTGTGAAGTTGCAGGTTGCTTGAGTGGGATCTGGGTGGATGTGGGGTCCATTGAAATGCTATTTTTTACTATTCATTTTTGATACTGGTGATAAATAAATCTCGATTTGCTAAGTCTGTCTCTCTTGATCAACGGAAATAATTTCTGCGTAATCCAATCTGAGAATTTCGTAGAGGGTGTGAGTGGAGATGAGATGGGCATTAATTGGACGCTCTGGTGGAGAATGAAGGGGCTAGCTCTGGGCTAAGCGAAACTAACTAATGTTGGCACCCGCAAGGTCCGGGAGTTTGAAGATCTCCAACTTTATTAATGTTTTCTTTACTTCGAACTACAACAGGCTGGTCCATTGATAAGAAATCTCTTCTTCATTTGGGCTTCGATAATTTGCAAAAGAATAATATGTTATGGGAAGTAATCCTCTCGCTCCGACAGGATGACAACTACATCCGCACTGCATTTAACAAAAAAAGTGTAGACTGACGGCCGAGAATTTGATATACAGGTATCTCGAGACTAAAATATTGTGAAGACAAATGGTATCTTATTAATTCATTAATACATCAAGGAAGAATCTCTAACTCATTTACACATATCCCCCGTTCTCTCACATCTCTATCCATCAGCCACTTATCTCGCCCCTCGCAATCCTTCCCTCTCTCCATTCCTCCTCATATGTTTTTCCTCCAAAGATCCTCCTCCTTTCCGGTTTCTCACCCTTCTCATTCTTACGTCCACTCCTACTAACTTCCCTTCCTCCAACCCCTCCCAATATCGCTCCCCCCAACGTTCCTAATCCAGGCATTATCAAATCCCCAATCAACCCCCCACCAAATGCTCCAAAAAATGTATTTCTATCTTTATGAGTATTCCGAGCTCGAGTCGTGGATGCTCGTGAGTGTGTATGCGACTGTCTATGACGAGATCGACTCATAGATCTTGTAGATCGAGTTCGAGAATGTGAGTGGGCTCGGTTTCTGGATCGTGAGTGCAATCTTTCTGGTGAGGAAGAGTAAGAAGAAGATGTCGAACGTCCGCGGTGATGATAGCCGGGGATGTGCTGAGCGAGATAATGGGGATCGGGTGGTTCAGATATGGAACGTCGGGGACGAAGATGAGGGGGGAGGTTTCGATAAGAGTGTGGTTCTACGGCCTGGTATTGATGACGTCCATCCCTTTGATGAGGCTGTTGAGGTGGAGGTTGATACCCGTAAGCTGGGGGTTGAGTAGAATTGTAGTCCATAGCTTGTGATGGAGGTGGAGGTGGGTAATATGGTTGTTGTTGTGAATAATTTTGTGGATTGTAGACGGCAGGTGTCGGATATGCTGATCGTTCACTTATTGCAATATCATTTTGTGCTTGTTGATGATATGTCGATGTGGGATATTCAGCAGTTCGTTTCAATATACCTGGACCTGGTATTGCTTGTGGAGAGTGATTATAATATTCCTGTGCCGCCATCGTGATACTTGAAGTTAAAAACTGTCATCTGTCTTGATGCTATTCTAAGGTTATTTTGGGAATTTTACGACTTTAATATAAATACTGTTCTTCAACTCATACACCATGGTTGCATGTAAATGTTTATCACAAGGCTCAGCGAATCAAATCGACGTCACCATACATGAAGCCAAGAAATATTATACTCTGCCTGATTAAGTTTACGTCACAAACAAGACTGGAGATGGTGAATACTTCAGAAGTGTAATGTGGTGCTGATGTCTTGGAATACGGATATCGCTTGCCGGGAAGAAAACAAGAGAGAATGGAGATGCAAGGCTAGCAAGTTTATTATGGGTTGCGGGGTAGAAAATATTACTCGAATTTCGAAAACTATCACGAAGTGATTGTAGAACCAATGACATACAGGTATAATGAACACTCCCTAGTAAGGTAGTGGCGGCATTTCCATTTCTGTGCATTTGCGGCGAACGATCATCCTGACCAGCCTGGTGATCAACGCTTAGAATACTTCTAGAAGAATATAATCCTTGCTCCCGCAGAAGCTGAGCCTTGTGTCTCCACACCAAGACACTGTTTAGAGAACTGCCATGTATCTTGAATCTGGATGTCTTGTCGGGCACCGGCTAGATGTGTATCTCCTGTCGAATTTAGTATCTTCCGCAATGATATTCATATTGGCGCGACAATGTTCCATTGTGACTTCCGCACCGACATTTCCTCGGAAAATCTGGATCTTCGTAAACACTAGCACTGAATACCTATGTACCTTTACCGTAATCTTACACCTTCTCCATTGCCGTAGTCATCATCGATCACCTAACATCAACAGTTTATCTATACTGTTCATACTGGATTTCAAGCAACCAGTCTTCTCTTGACCACACTAGCTAAACATTTATCAGCTCGTAAACGGTTGGCTCCGTATTATTTCAATCATTCGTAGCACCTCGTACTCCAATGAACCTTTTCTCTCTTTCTCGCCATTTACCCCCAACTTTCCTAAGCTTTTCACAAAAGCATATTCTTTCTCTCAATCGGGTATTCGTATTATGGATGGATCTGATGGGTCAAAGCCAAGTTATTTGAGCCCTACGATGTTGGTATCCCAACGAACGATTGATCCCTTTTTCGATAGCCATCCATCAAAATATTTACCGTATCCACTAATATAAATTTCTAAGCAGCAGTAATCGAGATAGAGTATAACCCTATCGCCCTCGGGACGTCATTTTTGAGACGATACAGTATTGTCAACGTGTTTTGACAATGCTTGATGGAGACGGTATCGGATACCTTGAGCTGGATTGAGTTCCGGTATGCAAGTAGAGGTGTTCTGTTTTGGAGAAAGTACTATATTGTCGATTCATTCCTGGCCTTTTTCGTCGGCCGTTCCTGTGTCGCTATTTTGATACGAGAATCAAGGTCAACAATCACATAAAGTAGGTTCGAAGTCTTAAAGTTAAAGTATGAAACATAAGCTAGTGATTTGGTGATAATCGTAAATCCAACAACGCTTTATTGCTGCCGTTAACTTTAAATACTGGGCATTGTCATTGTCATTGTCAATGCATGGCCAGTGTCTTGACAGCGTTCGAATCTGACTTTTGACCTTCCATGATATTATGCCGAAATAGTATGATCAAAGTGTAGATGAAAATCGCGTAGGGTCAAACTGTACAGCCCAGTTTTCCTGAGGAGGAAGAGTAGCTATTTATCGATGACAACTTTGCCGAATTCACTTGCATCCAATATAATATCATAGTAGAGTATTAATGACCGCAGTGATTATCAGAGATCAATCACTAATAAGTTTGAACCATGTGCGAGAAGCTTGTTCCCAGATCAGTCTTTCCAACAGTCCGGACTGCAGTCCATTTTAAGATTTTAGTTTTGAGATTTGGAAGATATTGTTATCGACTTTAGGCATTCATTATTTTGAATCAATTTAAAAAAAACTGTTTGGTTGAAAAGATATAAATGCTTGTTGGAAGAAGCCGAATGATCCAGACCTTTTAGTCGATAGACTGCAGTCCATCCGGGGCCCAGATAGTCCAGTCTGAATAGTACAGGCTTCATGAAGAGACCTACAATATAATACAACTTTCTGGACCATGCTGCAAGTCCAGATCATTGGAAAAACCTGAACATCAAATGAACATCATCTATTCGAACGCGCTAAATCCAGTCTTTCACAGTATTTAGATCAAGGTTGATTGGTGTAATTCCACTTGGTTATCACAAGGTACGCACGATTGTGCAGTTGCTTTTAAGAGCAAGACAGTGTCTTTCGAGACAACGAAAATGATGAAGTCAGTCATTTGAAATAAACACAAATAGTCCCGATTAAATATAACGCGAAAGGGGTTTTGATGCCCTGACAAGAGGATTGCTAGAGACGATGAATGCAGTAGGATCAAAATGATTGCAGAACTTGATAGAAATGGAAAGCTCGCATATCTTAGGGTAGAAGCAAATAATGAATAGCAATCACTAGCATTAGCATTAGCATTGATCTTTCTAGCAGTAGAGCACAGAAAATGAGATGCACTCGCTAGTGAATTAAGTTCAATCAACAATACTGAAACTATTCCAGGAAGAAAAACCTGTTAAGAACAACGATGCCATTTCAGATGAAAATCATGTAACGATTTAGAAGGCTTCTAGAAGCATTTTAGGTGGAGTCGTTCTCCCGCTCCCGTGTGAGCTCCACCAAGAAGTTTTTGACCAACCAATTCGCTTAACCATTAAGTTTTCGTCTGCAATTGATACATATATTAAAATGATGGCACACTCATACATCAACAGGCCTGATAGTTCAGTGGTAGAATTCTTGCTTTGGGTTGTCCAATCTAAATTGTAAGAGGTCTCCGGTTCGATCCCGGATTAGGCCCTTCGCATAACGTTTTGCCTCTTCCGAAGTGTGAGGAGAGGTCTTATTTTTCTTCTACTGAAAAGCATAAATAAGTAAGAGCGCTTTGGGGGGGGTGTAGGGTGTATGTAGCCCCCATTCTTTTCACTGAGAGATTGATTCTTGGTACTTTTTGATCAATTTTTGCTTGGTTAGCAATTCCAAAAATCCCAAAAATCCAAGAAATTCGCTTTTTCGCTTTTCGGAAGAGGCTTGTGTTGTGTGGCAGCACAATATATCTGTGCCTTTGTTCCCCTTTTGGATGAGAATAGTTCGCTGCAGCGGAATGTAGGATGGATTAGTAGAAATTCAATTAAATATAAAGAGTAGTCGCCATTGTTCACTGATGTATCTATCGTCAATTGTGAATCGTCTATGTGTTATTTATTTATTTAGCTTTCTAATAAGATAGTCATTATAGACGCGGGTTAGGGTACATTAGGCGTGTAGCTCATACTCTCTCGATACGAGAGATGGTCTTGCCCAAATAAGATCTATATGAGAAGAGCACATCAACCATTATGAAGAACCAACCGACGCATGTCGACGACTCAAGAAGAACGGAGGTTCAAAGATTTCAGTCTCTGCATTTAATATTAATATATTAATAATCAACTTGTTCATTCCTATCAAATGGAGCAAATTACTTCTTCGATTCGGGCATGTTGCCAGAGTGGTTAATGGGTAAGACTTGAATGAACAATTCGGTTATCTTATGGTTTCGGCCTCGTAGGTTCAAATCCTGCACATGTCGTTTTGTCAGTTTGAGTATCATTTTGCTCTCGATCCTTGAGAACAAATCTTTTTTGAATTCGCTGTGGTGGTCTATTTATTGTCCTGCGTGATCAAAAGAAAAAGAAAAGGAAGAAGTTCTGTTCGTTTTTAATGTGGAGATTTTATGGGTGGTGAAAATTATTTTGGCTCTTCTTTTTTTCAATGGGTAGAATGTTATTGACTCGATTCACCACCCCACCACAAGTCCCCCAAAACTACCCCTCTAAAATTTTGATTTACCACAAACTCTTTCAAATCTTCACTATCTTGAATTACTTTAGAATCAAAATGCTCCTCATGTAAAGGGCAAAAAGAAATTGATCAATGAGAGAGTCAAACAGACTGCCAGAAAATGATTCGCAGTTCACATATACCCGAAATCTACCGAATGTAATGAATGCCTTAACGGACAAAAGTTTTGATGATCAGTTCAAGTATAGAGCTCTCCCCTGGAAAATGGCGAGTTCACAGATACAAACACAAGAGAGACTTTACAAAAATCAAACCCTGGAAGTCAACATGAATGTCAAAAAATGACAAAAATGATCACTGGCGGTTTCGAACCGCCGACCTTGGCGTGCCAAACCTTACTGATGAATCAGATGAGATATTAGCACCACGCTCTAACCAACTGAGCTAAGCGACCTGGTTATTTGATGGAAGGATACAGCTCATATGTGTATATAGCGAGTTTGTTTACTGGGCTGTGTGGTGATTGCAGTGGGATCTTGTATGAAAATTTATTCGGGATGGTGTGTATGAGGGGCGATATCGGGACAGGCGGATAGAATGCATTAGTCGGGCATGATTTGGCTTGGCGCGGGAATGCACGGAAGGGACATGCGAGTCATCTGTTGTTGTTCTGATATGATGGTTCGGGATATATCAAGAGAATTCTAGCCGGGGAGCGGGAGGCTCCAACAAGAACTCGTAAGTAGGGTCTCTATAGTATACTCGGGTACATGAGCTTGATAAATGTTCATGGTGTTATCAACTTCTCAAATGTGAGGCTCCTTAGATTCTCCGCCACTTTCCAGAATATAAGTAATTGTAGGAGCATCTCAAGCCATCTACAAGGAGTCATCCAACACATCGACGTATACAACTGGAATGTTCGAGGGAATAAAGAAGTCATCTCTAGATTAGTTTGATAATTTGATACCCTATCAATTAAAGCTATCAACTCCATTATGTATCTGGTCGCCGTCGCCATGAATAACTCAAATATCATCATACTTCGTAATACCCTCCACTAATCCCTTAATCAATAACGCCAGCCTCTTACTCTGCCATCTACACAAAGCCAAATTTCCACCCATGAACCAAAATCCTTCATGGCCAGTCTTCCTCCAAATTGTTCTAACTTCTCCTTCTTCGTCAAATCCCCAAACATCCTTGACTCTATCCGCCACTTCATCTCCAAAGATCTTCCTGCATTGTGTTCTCATATTCAGGTATCCTGTTGCGAATACAATTTCGTCTGCTTCGATTAATGACCCATCTGCGAACTCCATACCGTTTTCTTTGATACCCGTAATTTCTTGACCTTGCTTAACTTTAATTTTCCCATCGATAATGAGTTGAGAACATCCAACATCCATATAATAACCACCGCCACGTTGAAGATATTTCATCCAAAGACCTGCTCCATCCGGTCCTTTATCAAGTTTGAATCCAGCCTTTTCGAGACCTTGAAGTAATTTCTCATCAATCTTAGCCACTTGCTGGGTACCTTCAACACTCAACTTCTTGAGTACCGGATTCGGCATACTATGAAAGACCATGTCGGCATCAAAAGTCGGAATACCATTTTCTCCGTAAAGACTTGATTGAGCATCCGCACTTGTTTCTGTGCCAATAACATATGTAGTTGATCTTTGAACGATGGTCACTTCATAGCCATGTTCATATAAATCTTGAGCAATGTCATGACCAGAGTTACAACAACCAACCACAATTGCTTTTTTATTCTGGCCACGAGATTCGGTTGCTCCAGGAAATTTGGATGAATGGACCACTCGACCTTTGAAAGTATCGATTCCTTTGAGATGAGAAGGGAAGTTTGGTTCTCCACTTGCACCGGTTGCTTGTATGATGTGCTATTAAGAATTAGTAACTATTCACTGAGATTATTGTAAAATGACATACTTTTGGATGAACAATTCTCGTCTCCTTCTGTCCATTTCTGGTTCTCTCTAGAGTGACTGTCCATTGCTTGGTTTGGTCACTCCATGAAGTGTTGGTAATAGTAGTTTGAGTCCAAGCATTAAGTTCCAATAAACTAACGTATGCTTCAAACCAATCCCCTAATTTATCCTTGGGAGTAAACACTGGCCAATTCTCAGGGAAAGGTAGATACGGGAGATGATCAAACCAAACAGGATCATGAAGAACGAGTTGATGATATCTTGTTCTCCAATTGTCACCAATTCGTTCTTCTCGATCAACCATGAGTGATGTAACACCAAGCATTTTAAGTCTTGCTGCTACTGTCAAACCACCTTGTCCAGCACCTGAAGAATATTAATATTGCACGTTAACTCTTCAATCGTCTACAGTGGGAATACTTACCAAGAATCAATACTGTCGGCTCAGTTCCATTACCAAAATCTTTCTCAAGATTTCTTCTATCCAACCAATTTTCCTTCTCCGTCTTCTCCCCATGTTTCACACCATAAGGCCTCTTCTTTCCGACACTCTCTTCGTAGCCATTCAAGTTTTCGAGGAAAGTATAGAGCGTAAATGCTTTCCACGTCCCCTCATCATTTACTAATCTAGCAATTCCAGCCCCCTTGCCAACATCCGTCTCAACCTTTATGAAAGCCTGAATAACATTCGTCTTTCCATCAGTATCAAGCGGCGTTAGCTTTGGTGATCGAAACTCCGAGCTTGAATCAAGTGCGATGGATTTTAGACGTGAGCCTTTTGTCTTATTGAGGAGTTCGAGAATTTTGGAAGGGCCATGTAGAGTGTGAAAGTCCCATGAAAGACATAATTGATCGCGCCAATATGATTCTTCTACAAAAAGTGCAGAAAGTGACGACCGATCAGCAGAATGGATATTTTGATTAAATCGATCAACGAAATCTGAGGCAACCTTTGCAGTATCGATGGATTCCTCAGCTGTAGATTTAGGGAGGTTGGCGAGTCGTAATTGGAATGAGCCAGGTTCGACTCGTTGGGACGATGGTATAGGATTTTCAACTTCAATGCTTCCCATTTTGACGTGTTACAGTAGTTTGAGTATGGATTAGTGGAGTGTGTGAAGTAGGATGTGTATTTAAAAGTTACAAGGTGATGAATGGATATTTATATGTTCAACAACGCATTTATGATCATCAACGAATACTCCTCTTTTCGGTAGACCTTCCTACGCATATCGACTTGTAATCTGTGTAACATAGAACTGTCGTGCGTAATTTCGATCTACGGGTACATAATTCTCTTGTACTCACATGACGCCGTCGTGCTTGTGAGTTTAGTCTCCTAGAGAAGCCAACAGTTGAAACAATGAAGGAGTCTCGGGGTCTGGGGAAAAATTACCCCGCACAACATGACGTCGGCAAACCTTCCATTTCCATAAGTAGGTCTCCTTTCGACCACACAGAAACCCTCCGGTACGTGAGCTACCTGAGCTACCTGAGCTAATAAGTGTGACTGAACAAGCATAAGTAATGTTCACTTCGATGATAGCATTACTATCATGCGATACTCCTATCAAGCACATTTTTGCGTGTAAGCATATCATTGGTAGATCAGATGAATTGAGCCACTTCAAAGTGTTTCAGCTCAGATCACCGTTTGGGTAGTTGAAAGGACAATCCCGCCGACCCGAGCATATACACTAGGCAAATTCCGCTCCTCCGCCTTGAATTACTTCGAGTCCGGGATCGAGACTGTATAGCTTCTGCCATCGATTGTGTCTTGGTTACTACCAACCCGAGTCTTGCGGATGTGTGTCTCTTCCAGCCCATGCATTCCGATAAGCATCCATATCGAAACGATGACTCCCTGATATTCGTAACGATCAGGCTATCTTCGGCCTTAGCTGTTTTGAGGACTTGAACGCTTCCTTTGAATTTGAATTTGAAATACGAGCAGAAGCAACTACGACTTGCCCATTTATATCTCTCAGAAGTGGGATGAACGAGGCATCCATCGTTATACATGAATGCAATGGTTGCAGATGAGTCACACGTTTCCCAAAATATAAGCATGTTAGACAACCGTTCTTGATTTCCCTATAAATCTTTATCACAATAATAAATCCACAAGTTAGGTGAACTCTCGAAAATTCCCACCAGACTACTCTATCCCTTTCACATTGGCGAGACAGCGTCAAGTCCGAGCTCTTGTAATGGCAACACCCCCTTCAAAACCCATTGCGAAATCACGCATTCGTGAAGCAGAACCCAAAGATATCGATGCCATCAGAATTGGCATGATTGCCTCCCTAACCTCTGATCCAACATGGCGATATCGATACATCAATCGTGATAAACACCCCGAAGATCTATACAAGTATTCTCGTCTCTACATTGAACTCATGGTTTCTGGAAAGTACCCAGACTACCTAACTATGATTGTGGAAGTTGAAGAAGATTCGGTTTGGAAAGTCGCTGCTTTGTCTATATGGGATGCTTCATATGTGAATAGACGGATACATAAAGCAAAAGGAGAAACATACAATCCTCCAACGCGTAAGGTTCTTCCCCGATAAGTTCAAACTCTTAAACCTAACTTCATCAAGCGGGAGAAGCAATGGAAGCAGCTGGTGCAAACACCCGGAGAGACATAGATCCCAGTTATGAGGCAGCTTTTATAAAAGCTATTGGTGATACCCGAAAGGAATTTACTGAGATGTTCCATGGCGATGAATTTTATGTCAACTTGATAGGCACTCATCCAGACTTTCGGCGTCGAGGTTATGCTACTCAGCTCTTGAAATGGGGCATTGAGAGGTCGATACGTGATAATGCGCCTGTGGTTTTGGCGGCAAGTTCAATGGGGGAGCCAACGTATCTTGCTTCTGGATTTGAGGAATTAGGAAGGGTTCCCATAGTTGCTGAGGGAGACTATGAGAAACAGGAGTTCGTAAAGATGGTTTATAGGCCTAGAAAATGAAGGCGGAATAGAAAACTGTGAGCCAGTATATAATATCATTTATCAACTATGCCGGAGAAAGTGACAGGAGAGAATACAATTTGTATATTCTTATGTATATCTCTATAATTCTAATTCTATTGAACAGTCTATGTTCTATGGACAAAATCTTGAGCCCAATATAGTCTATGCCTTGTTTTCGCTTTCGAAGTCCTTGATACCAGCAGCGTAGACTTCCTTAACAGTCGTTTTACCAGCAACGACATCCTTAACTGTTGACAAAATAGAAGTCCAATCCTCAAAGATTGTGAATGGAACCTTTTCTCTAACACAATAGGTAATGAGATCATGTCCCTTCTTGGCGAATAAAAGATCAGTCTCCTTGGCAGCCGAGAGATCTGACACTCCATCTCCAGCGTAAAACATGGTTGGTCTTTGATCATCTGGAAGTGCGGCATATGGTCTAATCTCTCTGGATTTATCATGTCCGAAATGACTATTCTGAATTAGCTTTACCATCAGTGAGTTTTTTCCTAGGGCCCAAGGCTATACCTTTCGTCATGGTAGACAATATTCCAACCTCCCTCCTCATCAAGACTCTTGAATCCTTCTCTAACTTCAACTTGGTTGCTGACGATCTGAATTTCGGCAGCTTCTTTCTTTCCCAAGAGATGTTCCAATAATGCTCTAATAATTGGTTCCATTCCACCACTCAAAATAACAACTGGCATATTGTTCTCTCTTGCCCATTCGAAAAACTCCTTGAATCCTGGATCTAATTTGATGTTTTCGATAAGAGTTGATATACACTTGTTATATGGAGTCTTGATGCTGTCCATCATTGATTGGAAAGAATCGCGAAAGGTCTTTGTACCATCGAGGACATCTTTGTTTCCTTGCTTGCGAAGTTCTTGACCAAATCCAAGATTGTCTGTCATGAAATCGTTGGAATCGCGGGTCGTGATTGTGCCATCGAAATCGGTGAAGAAGATATATTTAGGGGAGGTTTGCATGGCGGGGAGAGTAGTTGATCCCATTGTGAATAGGTTGAAAGAGTAGTGAGGTCTGGGTGATATTATTAGCGATTGATGTTGGCTCTCGTCGACTTGTCTTGGAAACGTGAATCAATGGCAGCACAGCTGGAAGTTGGCAATTGGCAGTTGGCAGTTGGCAGTTGGCAGTTGGCAGTTGGCAGTCAGGATGAAAGGTAGGAAGTTGAGATGAGACAGACAGCGCCATTGTTTGAGTTTTGTTGGGACTGCGAACTTACATTGATAGGAAGAAGTGATTCCGAAAGTTTATGTATAAGCACAAGAATGAAATATAAAGAGGATTCTTTTATATACCAATAACACGGCGTATTGAATGTATTGATGAATGTATATGAATGTATTGAAGTTGGTTGTATAATGATGATGATAAAGTTATCGTAGTGGGGTTGAATAAATTTATTTACAATCTCAAATGCGATCAGTGTAGTAATACCCCGAGTTTGCCCCTCTATCAATCATTAATTCACTCTACATCATCATAAAAGCGGTGAAGAAATACATTGAAGACACCCTAAGGTCCCTAACATTTTATTTGCAGGGCGAGCAGGGTTATTGAAGCCCACAACACCATCAATTGGGTCAGAGCTCCACTGGGGAATCTTGACCGAATATTCTCTTTTCTCACTTGATGTAAGGTAAAAGGTCAAGGGAAGAGAGTAACAAAGTCCTCAGCTCGACTCAACTTCCTCACCAAAAAGAGGAAAGACAATTGTCAATTGCAATGCAACCATTGACAAGGCTCGTTCCTCGGTTTGCAATCGACTCAGGTTCAGTCTCCATATCGAGAACTTTAAGAATCTCTCCTCGGCCTTCTGTCAAATCGTCAATCTGTCTACAATGTAGGATCTATTCTCCTAGTCTGCGGCGACACTTCGCAGATGATCAAAGACCTATAATAGAACCACCCCCTCATCTTCGACCCAAGGTGACACCTCCTCCTGAAGAACCTAAACCCCAAGTCGAAGAAAAGCCTACTCCTACTCCGGAGTCCAGCGAACAAGATGTCTCTCCCTCTCCCAAACCCGAGAAAGATGGAGAGCTCCCTTCCACACTCGAAAGTCGACGCCTGGCAGTCACAAAGAAACTATCCCACCTCATGGATCATATGCAAGGCAACATATTCATAGCATCTCAACGGATCAACGATCTCACAGGCTACTCCGGCATTGAAGCTCTCAAGAACAAAATCACCGATCTCGAAACCCAAGTTGCCAATTCCAAAGACCTCGTCCGAAGTACTCGACTACACTACAAAACCACTGTCGCAGATCGTGCTTCTTCTCAACGTGAGGTTACAACTTTACTAGCAAGGAAAGATACATGGACACCTGCCGATCTCGAGCGTTTTACACATCTATACCGTATGGATCATACCAACGAACAAGCAGTCCAGGAAGCAGCTACTCGACTCGCAGATGCAGAACGCGAAGCTGAGAAAGCAGCGGGGGAATTGAGTAGTAGCATTTTATCCCGATATCACGAGGAACAGATTTGGAGTGATAAGATTCGAAGGATGAGTACATGGGGAACATGGGGATTAATGGGAGTCAACGTCTTATTATTCTTGGTATTCCAATTTGTATTTGAACCATGGAGAAGGAGGAGATTGGTTGCAGGATTCGAAGACAAAGTGAGAGAGGCATTAGAGAAAGAGAAGATCTTTGCCATGTCGACAGCTATTCGAGGTGCTGAAGTTGGTGGGGGAGAGGGTTCAGAAGTAAGCTTGGATGAGATCGTCGCATCTGGTGTCCAAGAATTGGAAGAAGAAATCGGAGAAAAGGCCCTGGATGAGCCAGCGGTAGAAGCAGTAGCTGCCGTAATGGAAGGTGAAGTATCACATCACGAATCAAATAACGAGCCAGCCCCAGAAATTGGCGAAGCAGCAGCAGCAATGGATACTGCAGAATTAAGCATACCATATTCTAAACCCGCATTCGATTACCGAAACATAGAATCTTGGAAAGAAAAAGTGGAAGCCGGGAAAGCTGCGGCAATAGATTTATGGAGTACACAACAAATTTCGATACCAAAAAGAGATATAACGATCATAGCATTAGAAAGTGCCGCTGGGGGAGCAGTGCTTGTAGGAGCCATCTTCACTCTTATTATACGTCGTTCATAGATTCTGAATCAAATGATCGAGAAGGAGTATGAGGGAATTGTACAAATCATCGCATCTTGTTAGATTTTTTGTACATTATCATGTGCATTTGTGCTGGCGATATAAAGGATGTGTAGCATATTAGCGAAAGAGCCAGATACTCAATTTTGATACCTCTTACGAAGACTGTTGTTTGAGGCTTGACATGTCTCTTTTCTGGTTGCATGATTGTTACGTATAGTACTCCATGTTAGATTATTCACAAGCGATAGTCGCCGCACAAACGAGACTGTGGGTGGGAATTGACAACGAGTACACAAGTGGCTGAATATGTATAATTTCTCGTGTATATATATACCTAACACCTCCTCCATACACGACTATTCCTTGTATTTCCCCTTTCCATTTCTCCTACTCCACCAAATATTCCACTCTCAAATCAATAAGCACCTTTCCTCTTACTCCAAGCCGGACTATCCACCAAACTAGGCGCCTTCAAACTCGTAAGTACGGGTGTTCCAGCCGTCAATGTGAAATCGGTCAACGCAGCGCCTGAGGATTGCTGAGCCCAGAGTTCGATGGCGAGGGTATTTTGACCGTTGTAGTTGAGGATTCCTGCGGAGAGGTGTGAGTTAGTAACTTGGTATATATGAGAAGGATAAGAATGGGGAAGAAAAGTGGAAAGACATACCCTGTGGCACTGGGAAGCTCGTTTGCGGTCCAACGTTGTTGACATATTTTCCAAACTGCCATCCGTTAACCCAAAGCTGCACTCTGTAATCACTGGTTCCATTCGTGGTCGTCGAGTTTCCGAAATTGAATGCAAGGGGTACATCATATCCCTTTGGCAAATCCAATCTGAAGGTACTTGTCCAGAATCCTACACCTGCACTCTTGATTCCTTGCACAGGCGATCCAGAACTCCACGATGAAGAAGGAGGAGATGGCTGTGTGTATCCTTGACGTTCGGCATAGAGACCACCTTCGTTCAATGGACCGCGCACTTGATCGATGTATTGTTCTCCGCCGAGATTTCCCGTGAGTTTCCATGTTATGGAATTTTGAGCGTGGCCGGAAAGAGCGTAATTTAGGATTCCTCGTGGAGATTTCATTTCCTCGGTTCCCACGGTCCAATTTTCATCGAGTCCGTTGTTGTCGATCACGACTGTGAAGATGTACTTGGAGCCAGCTTTTAGGTTGGGCAAAGTGTAAGTAGAGTTTTTGGCTTCGGCGTAGTCGGCGCCGACCCAGGAACCGATGTAGGTTGAGTTGAGCCAGACGGATGAGCCGAAGGCGGAACCTCCTTGGGTGGAGATGTAAAGGGTGGATTCATTGCCGGTTGCGATGAAGTGGCCGCGGAATATCAAGACTCCGGAGCTGTAACCATAATCTGGACCATTGAGGACGGTGGGGGTTAGGAGAGGAGTGAGGTAGGGGTTAGATGTTGAGTTTTTGTTGGCGACTGTCCAGGCTGAGTCGTCGTAACTTGATTTGATCTCAGGGAGATTGTCGAGGTATTTCCAAGAGAGAGTCGAGATGGTTGGAAGGGAGATTTTGGGGGCTGTGTAGGTGAGTGTTGACGAGAGTTCACCAGTTGTAGAATCCGTCTTGTAAGAGACCTTTTGGGAGTTGAAGTAAAGGTTCTTAGTTCCTTTAGGGGCACCGATTACTTTAAATGGGACGGTAGCGTTAAGATCACCGTAGATATGGAGATCTGAGCCCTGGGTTGAAACGGATCGAACGAGGTAACCTGCTTCTACGATAACGGAAGCTGTGTTTTTGATGCTTGAGGCACTGATTTTGTGTTAGCGGCTATGTGAGACTAAAACTAGATTCAAACACTTACAATGCACCCCATTTGTCGGTTCTGGCAAAGTCTGGCACCCAATAATTGTACGCAGTGTTTCGATCCAAAATGTAGACAAATACGCCACCGACCTTGACCACTCTACGTGTAGTCGATGTTTGCCAATTAAGAATCGTCGAACCATTGGTGCTCTTGCTTGTAACACCTGAGCCCTCAATAACTTGTGCTGAGCTCTTTGTAACTACAGCCAATTCATGAGATTCTCCTGGTCCACCATAAACGACCAAAACAGTCTTATCATTAAACTTCTTCCAGGTGAAAATTTCTGCTGTAGAGTAAAGGAGTGTTGTTCCTCCAATGTCATAGTCTGTTACATGCCATTTTGAATCTCTACCACTTAGAGTAAGACTTGAGTTCAATTGAGGAATAGTAAGAGCGCCTTGACTTGTAGTAACAGTCAACTTATAGTTTGTAGAAGCCAAAGTTTGATAATCTGAATGGCGAACAATATAGAAGTTTGTGACGGTTCCATTGCCAAGGAGCGGAGTAGTGGTGATGGCATTACTGCTGGTATATGTGCCATTGGCAGCTGCACCAACGGATGTGGTGAGATATGCAGGGCTGACTTTCAAAAAGTTGGCTTCTATCTTCAACTCGCTGTACTTCTCACGAGTGATTTCACGGTTTTCGGTAATGGCGGCGCCATAGTCGTAAGATGTGTAGCCACCTAAGAATGAATGTGAGCAATAGCTAATGATGAAACGGAATTTCATTGCTTACCGGCATGACCAAGATTTCCCCAGTTTGTGCCACCATCTGAGAGACAATCAGTATTTATTCATGTGCCATAATATCAAAGACTCACAGATCATATATAGACTCAAAAGAGCAACACCCGAAGCAAAATTATTCTTGTTAAAGACTCTCTCGAATTGTTCATTCAAGAGTTGAGCACATGCTGGAAATCCCTATAAAAGTTTAGTGACAGCAAGTAATCCACAAGAAAAGAGACTCACAAGGCCACCCCAAGGATCAAAAGCACCACCTTGGAATTCGTTGATGGAATAGAATGTACTTGGACTTTGTTGCTCATGACTCGCCGCAAAATAAGTCGGTAAATTCCCAGCAGGCCAGGTAGTTGGATGAGCACAATCAAATCCTAATGGATAAGAATCATGACCGTAGATATCAACATCTCCGATGGTAGTTCCATTAACCACGTCACCTGGTGCAAAATGTCCACCCGCATCTGTTTAATGTCAGCTCTGTCAATACCACCACCAAAAGCCTCTCTCTTCCTCGTTGATGTCGCATGACTTGAGAGAAAAGAACAATAACCTACAAGCGTCATTACTGATAAATGGCACCGTAACACCCGCGTCCCTAGCCTGTTTCTTCACGTATGCAAAGTAAACTGGATCTGGCCATCCACCTGGAACATATCCTGAGTATCCTGAGTATTCATTCTCTGGTTGATACAGAATGATTGGTCCTCCTTTTGTGATTTCGTATTTGGCAATTATACTGGCGATGTTTGCCATATAGTTGTCGGTTGCTTCCAGATAATCTGGAGCTCGAGATCGCAGAACACCACTCACACGTTGAAGCCATCCTGGGAATCCACCTCCAGAAACTTCAGCATTGATGTACTGTATTGGTATATATTAGCACAAGACTGGAGTTGAAAGATATAGAGGTATGAACTCACAGGACCTGGACGAGCAATGAGATAGATACCCGCTTCCTTTGCGGCATCAAAGAAAGGCTCAAAAGCAAACACTCCATCTGCAGTGTAGTGTCCTGGGTTTCCTTCTAGTAATGTCCAATCAACATAAAAGGAAATTGTATTGAATCCAAGTGATTTCACTTTCTGAAATATATCAAGCCATAGATCAGGGACCGGGAGTCGATAGGGATGGAATTCTCCCGCGAAAACAAATATACGTTCTCCGTATACTTTGAGAGAGTGCTCATCATATGTGACCTGTTGAATTAGCTTTCGTAATATGCATTGGTCGCTCAATTGACCAATATTTGACCCAATTCGTGAAGAAGGGATGCCAACATATGTCAAAACTTACAACATCCTGAAGTCCAGCATCTCTCTCAACAACCATTTTCTCACCACCAATATTAATTGACAATGCTGCAGCTTGAGCCGCGCAGGCAATTGCCGTAAAAGCATGTAGAAACCTCATGATTGCAATGTCCCAATTGCAATTGCAGTTTTCAACACACACATGTAATGGAAGATAAAGTATCTTGACAAGAACAATGTTAACATACACCGGAAGTAACCTTTATATACAATACCTATGGATACGAAGAAGTTTATCCACTTTCGTCATCTTCCCCCTCACCGACGTGCATAACATTCTCCGAATAGAAAACTTCAATGCCCCGTGTAAGTGCGCATCGCTGCAGTGCGAAAATCAATTGTTCTACTTAACCCCATGATATATGCCAAGTACGAGGAATCTCCAGGCACAGGCACATATAAAGGTACAACTCCGAACCACAACATGCGGGGTAAACAATGTACACGATCGTCACTCTACCCATACAACCAACCAGATTCTTCATTATAACGGAGCACTTCATTTGGCTAAAAGCAATAACATTTTCCCGACCGAGCTGCCCCGGGAAAGTTTTGATGAAATAATTCAAAGTAGAAATGACGCCAGGCCAGAAATCCAGAAAAATGTTGATCTTGGTGGAGAAACAAGGTCAATGTCTTGCGCACCAACCGGATTATTCGGACGGAAGCATTTAGACACGCTTGTGGTATAGCTTCATGTCCTTGCATCAGATTCTGAAGGGAAAGAGAAAATAAGTTTCTCCGGACCGAAGTGCTCCTTGATTTCGAATACGGAATCAGATGCCGATCGATGGCGCGAAAGTTCTGCATAAAAGTAAGTGATGTGATGTTATTCAAATACCCAAAAGCGAGTCAATCATTGAAGCCACAAGTATCTGTAGATTTCATTGGTCTTCTGAGTGGGTTAACATAACTTCCCATAAGCACTTAACTCATGACCAATTGAGGAACATTGTTCCCCAGCGTGTTCCTCTGAACATTTGATTTTATCCATATTTATGCATAGCTCGTTGAAATTTTGTGTAATGTACAATCGCTCTCGATGTCCCCAAACCACGAAGCTGTAAACCCTGTGTAAACCACCTAGAGGCTCATTTTATGTCTCCATGTACTCCAGTAGCTATGGTTCTCCTCCCGTTCGATATATTATCGTTCATTCTCTGACTCTTTGGTGGGTGAATGTGTCTCTAAATCTCATCTTTCACCTCCGACTGATCCTACGTCAACACTCTCATGCAGTCGCCTTCTTTGGTTTCTTCGTTCCATATTTCGACCGTGATGTTGCTCTATTTCCTACACCTCCCTATGATTGCGAATACATTAGCATAGATCCAAGACGTCATGACATCCTGTTCCATTCTTTCCATTTCATTTGACTCCCCAAATACACAGCATGCCAATCCAGTCTCCTCCTAGAACTCTCAAAGAAAAACAAATCTACTCACCAAATCTCCCGCTCCTCTAACCAAATGATATCTCACACCCGGACAATCTTGACTCCTTCCTCCTCTGACCAATACCACACTATGCTGTTGCACGTTATGTCCTTCACCCGGAATATAACATGTAACCACTCTTCCCGTACTCAATCTAACCCTAGCCGTTTTACGTTCTGCCGAGTTGGGTTTCTTTGGCTTGGTGATTCCGACTTTCAATGCCACACCCTTTAGTGCTGGAGCCTGGACTGTCGACAAGGCAGGTGAAACAGATTTACGCATAGCTTGTGCAGTGCGGCAGCCGCGACGGACTTGGTTGTATGTTGCGGCGTGGGAGGGGGTTGAGGAGAATGTCCGCGATGAGGAGACTGTGATTGATTTGAGCTGATTCGTGATGGATTGTGTAGTAGGACGAGGGGTAGAGATTGAGGTTGTTGACCGTATGGACGGCATTAAGAACCTTTGTAGTATTGAGGCGGCCATTGCGAGGACTGAGTGCGGGGATCGTTGGATAATCGCGTTCGTCGACGACGAGAAGGTGAGGGGAGAGAAAGCTTTCGATGTGGCTGATTATATCACGTGATATGGCTGAAACCACATCTCACCATGGAGGGGTGATTCTGGTGCATGTACAATCATGGACTTGAACATTATACAAAAATAGTATATAATTTCTCTCACTATGCAGACATTGCCTTATTGTAAAAATCTATCTCAAAATTTGTCTACCACCCGATGAGAAACCAAGAGATGTTACTTCCCAAGCCAGATCCTATCCCAGGCCATCTTAACATATACAGCGTTTCAATTGGATTTTTACCCCATGCAAACGCCCGTACCCCCTTTCCTATCATGCCAAATAGTACCTAGTAGATATATCATCGATCCCCAAACCACCAATGCTACTCCCTAGAAAATGTATTCGAAAACGAATACTATAGTGAATTTAGATTATAACTCTAGTCTTGTTGGTTCTCATATCCTTCTGGCTTCTCCATCTTATTGATATCGAAGAATCGTGATGTACCTATTGGATAATTAGGACAATGTCATATTTTAGAAAGAAGAGGAAGACTTACATGAGTATCCTTTCCAGTCAAAGTTATCCTTTGGATTGCAGTGACACTTCAAATCGAGTCTTGTTTGCTCTCCTGTTGGACAATGGGTGAAAGGAACATGGTAATAAGCAATATCGTTGAAGAAATGAATTTCTTCTTTCTTCAAGAGAAGACCTGCAGCGATGGAGTGAACTGGTGCATCACCCCAACGTTCATAGAAAAATCCTCCATCTTGGTCGAGTTGCTCGAAGTAATCCGTGTAAGCCTTTGATCGAAGCCAATTGAGGTTACCAATTTCGAAGTTAGACCACTGCAACACTATATTAGTAAAAAATTCACGCAACTCATCATTGTATGACCAAAACATACCATGTGGCAGTGATTGTAAGTTTCACCACCATCGTCACTAAGGAAACCCATTGAGTTGCCTTCGGCAATGTGCTCTGGGTGGGCCTTGATAAACTTCTTGACACTGTCCCACAAAGTTGGAATAGTCTCGACATATTCGTAAAGACTCAAAACGAAACTGTACTTCTTCTTGTTATCGGCCATGAATTTGAATGCATCATAGTCAATATCGCAGAAAAGTTCAATGGATGGCTCGACTCTCCAGTACCATTCGTAGTTCAACATCAATTCTTGTTGGAAGAAGAAACCAGATTCGAAGCGACACATGTGGCGATAACTAACAGAATCACCATAGATGATTTTTCTTTGTGCCATATCTTCACGGACCTTGCGAGCCCTGTCGGTATCGATATGGTCAGGGAATGACCAATGTTTCTCTGGGATCTCTCCATAATGAGTCTTTCCGGAAACAAGGGATGCGGTAACCTTCTTGAATGTGGCATCAAATGGCTTGTCGTTCAAGAAAACCCAGTCGTAATTGAATTTCTTGTTAAATCTATCCTCAACTTGACGAATGGATCGTGCGATTTCCCAAATATCCGAGTTTCTTGCCAAAGTGACGAATGTCGCATTCATACGCTCTCCTGGGATGGTCGCAGGTGGAAGATCATGAGTATTTGGAGAAGTCTTAGCATCGGATGTCGTCGAGTCTTCAGCAGAGTGTCCTGGTGAAGTGCCTGCCTTGGTAGGAATACCAGTTTTATCAGTGAAGACTTGCTGCGCAGTCTGTAATCTTTGGTCTGATGAAGATGATATAAAGTAGACGATGGCGAGACCCTGTGGAGAGAAGTCGTTAATAGGTGGATCCAAAGGACTTTCTGGTATCCCAACAATGTCCCCGGTAAATACTTACAAAGAATGCAAAGAGAATATATCTCAAATATCTGGCTGTTCCAGTAGCCATGATGAAATAAGTTTATGATGTTGAAATTTTTGAAACTCTCGTTGATGCGGCTTTCATAAATCCAACAGTTATTTCACTAACCAATTGGACACGAATGGAATCTTCAGCAGTTATAGACTCCCTTCAGCCGCAAACGAATCGAATGTCGTGAAAGCAAGTGGTCTTTTCTCTTTTTTTTTAATTGAACCTTCAATGTTGTGAAGATATAATTAAAATTCCAAAGAAAAAGAAGATGGAGAAGAAGAAGGAGAAGAAGAAAAGGAACGAATGATAGAAATTGTGTGATATGACAAACACACAATGTAGAAGAAGTTGAAGAAGAAGTTGAAGATGGGAGAAAGAGAGATGGGAGAAGAGGATAGAGAGGTACGTGTAAATATGAATAAAGGAGGTCAATCTTTCTGGTGTACAGTAAGTAAGTACCTGAAAAGCATGTAAATTATAATCCAGTAAGATTTATCCGTTCTAGCCCAAATTTATCCTGGTTAGATTCTTTTTCTGGAAGGATTACGCAAGGGAGGATTTCCCTTTTGCTTCGAGGAGCGATACGATACGATAATAAGTGACCCAAGCAAAGGTCCCGCCAGCTTGGAATTGCCTTGTGAGTTGCTGTTCTTATTGAGGACCTTTAGCTTCCCCCAGATAAAGTTTGTCAATACGAGACAATCAAGCCCTTGGAAGGGTGGAAGGGTGGAAGGGGGAAGGGTGGAAGAGTGGCACAGTCAGATGGATCATCATTGTATGGTCAGAGGAGGAGGTCGACGAGTACCTTTGAATTATACAGTATAAGAAGACTTCAAGATCTAATGGAGAGAACAGGATGTTGATGCAAGTAACCATCTGATATAATATAACATATACTTTATACTATCTGCCGATTCTGACAAACAATGATAGATGCTTTCGTGTTGTTCGGGTACCTATATAAGGAGAGACTTCTAGCCCCTCACGTTTATTAGTATAAAAGGTCTAAAGACGTTGATAAGATTTATAGCATTTTGATGATTCTATATATAATTGCAGTATGATCTGTCAAGGAGATGTCAGTTGAAAGTTTCCTGTAATCTGTCTAGTCTGCCTCCACGGCAGTGGCTCCCAGAGGGCCAGCGGAGCGTCATTCCTTTGTTTACATGATAAATCATCTACCAGTATATGTGTATGAATTACACATGTAATCGATGATTTGAACCATTGACAATACAAAGGTACCAGGTACCATCATGAGGGCAAGCCCCCAAACCCCCATAGCTCGCTGCGCTCGAATTCACTTCATCTAGACCCACGAACGACCGCAAGGCTACAACCAAGGCATCAATTTTCTTACTTCTCTCTTCTCTCTTCTGTCTTCTCTACCCCACTTGGGCCTTCACTCATATCAGCTACCACCCACGCTTAATTTTTGAAGCTTTATTCCCTTCTAGTAACATCTCCCATCCTCCTCCACCTTTCCATCTCGTCACCTTCAATCATCCCACCAACGCAACGAATCCCTCCAAAAAATAAAAAAAGACCACTCTCTTTCTTTCTTTCTTGTGTTCGTTGTGCCATTCAACTTCTTACTCCTCACTTACTGCTCACCAACAATTTTGTTTCACCAAATCATTGGAGCTTGTATTATCTATCTATTTTGATCTACCCTTTTCTTCGAGATTCAAAGAAAAGCGTTGATCTTTGGAACTGCCACTTCACGCGTCAAATACTTTCTTGATTTTCGTATCTTATTAATGGAAACCACGGCTTTGCGATTTCTTTAATCATGTCGTTCTTTGGATTTGATCCCAGTCAAGCTCCTCATGAGAGGGGCCATAATACTGCTGCTCCTGGTTTTGGTCAACATGCGGATCCATTTGCAAGTCTTTCTGGCACAGGAAACGATAATGAAGCGTACGTTTTGTTGGGACATTCTTCCATTTGACTTGGATCAAGAACAAAAAGCTAATATTTCTACCCTGCAGATTCGATTTCGAGGATACATATGATGGTTTAGGAGATCAGCTTCAAGAAACCGGTGATGATTTCAATGATGATACCTTTGGTGGTGGTGCAGGCGATTCTATTGCAAGCAAGCCAGTTGGAAACAACTTTGACTTTTTTGGGCAAACGGCAAAGGTCTCCGATGCTATCAATGAGGAACAAATGCGATACACCCGCCAACAACCAGTAGTATCTAGGACAACTCCAGCCGTATCTTCATACTCTCAACAACAACATACGTCAAGACCCGCTAGAACTGGCTACGAGAGATATCAAGAGTCGGAATATGTTCCTGATATGCAGGTGGATGCAAATCTTTGGGGTGTTGCACCAAAACAAGCTCCAAAAGCCGCCACTCCCCCAGCTGCCGGTACATCTGCACCGAACCGAAAGATGATGAGTTTGGAGGAGGTTGAAGCAGCCATGAGAGCTCAAGCAAAGAAGCCATCGCAACCTCAGGTCCCTGTTCAGCAACAACCAATGCCACCATCTCAACCACAATATCAACAGCCCCCGCCACAACAATATCAAAACTTCCACCAACAAGCTCCACAGCAGCAACAGCAGCAATTCCCGATTCAAGCCAGTGCACCACCTCAATCGGAACAACGCCAGCTTCCTGTCGAGCAACAAATTCACATTTTGCAACGTCCCCAAGTTCCAACCAGCCAGACAAATGTTCCATCTATCCCAATCCAACCGGCACATATGCAAAACATGAACCGCTTTCCCAACCAACCCCACGGTGGGCAACGTGGTCACCATCATCCCCACGCTTCTGGAAATCGACATGTTATCACTCACCCACAACAATTGGTAAACTTATCCGAAGAAGAGCGGGCCGCGTTCTTGTTGGAAGATGCCAAGAGGGCAAAGCGTAATCACAAGATATTTTTGTTGTCGAAGGACAATGGCTTGATGACGCCCCAAGACAAAAACTTTATTACTCGTATTCAACTGCAGCAATTGGTCACCGCTACTGGAAATCCAAATGAACACGGCATAGATTCTTCTCTTTCCGAGGACTTCTATTATCAAGTTCATAGTCAGATTCGAGGTGGACCGCGCCAAAACCCACATCAACCTCTGAGCAACTTCGCACAAACATATCTTTTCCAAACCGGCAATCGTCATAACAACATGCGAAGACAAGCTCGTGGTGGCGACAACCATGTACAACGTATGGAACAGCAAGTGCAACGAGCTGTGGAAGCAGCAAAGAACAAGCCAAAGAACAAGCAGTTGGTCATTGAAGGAAGTTTAGGAAAGATCTCATTCAGCAACGCAAAGACACCTAAGCCACTGTTGAACATCAAACGAACTGATAGCAATGAACCAAGACCTGGAAATTCACCTAACCCTCGCAAGGCCAACCTCGTCAGTGGTAGCAATAGAAAGTCTATATTGACTGATATCGAGAATGTGTACAACACATTAATGGAGCTGGAGGACCATGAACGCTCAAAACCCAGACCATTGGGCCATGAAGAGATCAACCCACAAATCGCCGGGTTGAATCAAGACTGGAATGAACGCCAAGAATTCCTCAACAGGCAATTATGGCGTAATTTAAGGATTCATGAACCAATTGGCGCAACTACTGTTCATCCTTTCATTGCCTTCCTTTCATTCAATAAGGGCAAAAAGGCAATTCCTCGAGTTTTCAGGCATATTTCTGATGAACAACGCGCTACCATCTTGACCATGATTATTCTTCATCTTGATAAACTTGATGTCGTTCGATTGGCTGTGCCTAGCCCTGACGGAATTCAACTCAGTGCTGAGACTCGTGAAAACATTGATCTCTTCCAAGTCACAGTCATGTCAAGCCTTTTTGGATTCCTCCACGATGCTGATTTCCAAATCACTACTGGTGTTTTGGGACTTATCCTTAATCTTAATATTGATTTGATTGCACGTACTAGAATTGGTCTAAGTCTATTGACTATGATACTCAGTCGGGCTGAGATCACCAAGCAAGCTGGAGATGTTGATGAACGTGGATGGAATGACTGGTGAGTAATGTCCTGCCCTGTATTAGGATAATTCTAACATGTTCCTTAGGTTGTCCACCCATAATGCATTCTTCGATGCTCTTGAGCCTACCCTTCCAGAGATTTTCCCTGGTACCGTCAACACCGGCGAAGATGTATACGTTTGGCAATTTCTTGCAGCCATTGGTATCGGTGCCAATCCTGAACAGCAACAACGTCTAGTTATGGCTGTCAAGGACCGTGTTATGGAAACTGTTGGGCTTGCAAAGACATTACCTCCAGCTATGTCTATTCAACGACTCGCAAATGTCAACCTCTTCATGCGTTCTATCGGACTGGATGTTGAGTTACTCGCATGAATGATGGATTGAGGTTTATTTCTTTTAACATTTACGCATATCGAATTTTTTTTTCTTCTCTACTATGATATTTGATGGTGGAACCACATGAAAGGAGCGTGTTGGTATTGATTATAGTGGTATATTACATTAGGCTTCCGCGTTTTTATTGCGTGGCGATCACGAAAGTATAGCATTGAGTGGTCTCTCTCTAGAGAACTGATATTTATGAATGGGAGCGTCTCGCTGGATGGTGGATTACAAAAAATGAGTACTATTATTATGATTTGGGAAGAAAGCGGCTATGGTTGGTGGCCAGCATTATTCCGTTTAGGGGCAGGATGGGATACTTCAATATCTTGTGTGTGTTTTTTTTCTTCACAAGACGAAGGACTTTAGGCGGATAGAGAATACCATGACAGCAAATGCAAACAAAATTTAACGAGATGATCATTCATGGCATTGGCCTGCGAACAATCTTGAACTGAGCATTTGCCATTTTTTCAGGGAGCCAGGTCGTCAATCTAAGGGCAAAAGGCTTAGTTTCTTAGGTGCTATTTTGCTTCACCCGATCTCTCCAATTTCAAAGTTAGTTATTGGCTATTACTGTATTTCATTATTTATACAAGATTGTAGTTTCATCTGATCTGTACACGTACAAGCTTCCATCGCCCCATCATACTTCATTCGACATCTTCGATGTCATTGACACATACAGAAATGCTTATAGCGATCTAAAAGAATCTCTCCGTTCATGTACAGCTATTAATCAATAGATTTCCAAATTTCTGAACTCGGACTTAAAACAACGAAATATAAATCCGATAATCACTTCCTATCAAGCTTCTTCCACCCCTTTACTTTCAGAATCTTCCTTGGCATTCCCTCTCTTATCCATCGTTTTTTCCTGACCTTTTAATGTTTGCCAGCGCATGAAATAACAGCAGAAGGGGAAGAGGAGAGTGTTGATTGCGACCCAGGCGAATAGGACGCCAAAATTGAGACCGATGCGGGAGTGTAGGTCGAAGAGGAGTTGGCGACTGGCTTCGACGACTGGGGTTGGGTGGGTTTGTTAGTTGTGGGTTGGGTTGGGTTGGGTGTGTGGGTGTGTGGGCGTGTTTGTATGAAAGGGGGATTGTCGCTTGGGTTGATTGTGATATGTGTGTGGTATGAATAAGGAGTTTGAATTGCTAGGGAAGATAGGAAAGAAGGTGGAATTTTGGGGATATTTCAATGTCCTGAAGGCTTTCAATACTACAATGAAAGCCATCATCGAAATGAATTCGAGAACCAAACAAATTCAATGTCCAGTGCTCTTATTATCGAACCGTACAATCGAACATTGTAATTTTCCCTCCTAACGACCAAAGACAAAAACAAAGAAATAAACTCACTATTATGCAATGGCCAAGCATACCCCAATAGAAGAATTTTGGCGCCAAATCAATCGAGTAAAAGCTCGTCGAAACGTTTGTGATAACCCAAAAAACCAACCAAAGCGCGGTCCACGGCTGTCCAATAATCATAGTCACATTCTCACAGGCAATACCTAACGCGCCCATACCTACCCAATTGAGCATCCAGAAAACTACAAATGTGCCTTTTCCATAGGCCGTGGCGCTTTCGACTGAAGTTATCGATTTGTGGCCTGTTGAGAAGGGGATCTGGAAGGCGAGGGATAGCAACGAGTAGAAGAGAGAGAGGAAGAAGTAGGCGACGATGGTGGCTAGCCAGCGCCAGATAACCATTTGGTAGAAATGAAGGGGTCGATGACCTTGAGGAGTTATGTATTTTGTATGGACAGGGAGGTAGAAGGAGAAGGAGAAGAAAGAAATGATGATTAAATAAATGAGACCGATGCTGACAGCTGGCGTAGCAACAGGCGGAGTAAAAGGTCGAAGATTGAAGGTCGAGAACCCGATAGCGGGTGAGACTGCCTGGGGACTATTTCGTATATTCGACAATATAGCTGGGTTGGCAGCTGCTTGATCCGCTACTTGTGCAGCCCATTGCTGGCCAAACATGGCGGTTACAGAGGATTGAAATTGAAGTAGCTGTGGGGTGATATAGTTGGCATAGGTCGTTTCGTCTCGTGCTTGTACGTAGACCACTTGAGCAATTCCCATGGGATCAAAAGTCGAATTGCCGTTTCGGACGGCATCTTGCAGGAGGGCTGTTGCGTTTGCATTGATTATTACGGCCTGGGCATTGTTAGTACGGAAACATCTCAACTTTCAAGTACTCTGAGAAGTCTTTAGTGCTCGGAACGAGTTGGATGTGTCTAAGCATCAGTCTGGACTACAGCCTGATGGAGATATTTCAAACTTTTGAATGTTTGCGAATGCTTAGATCATCTGAAGTGCTCAATGTCACTCTGACATCCTAGATGACCCCAACATCCTCAAACTTCTCACGTCGCTAACCTGCATACAGACACCGATTACATGCCGCTAACAAAATAAAGAAATCACACAACTCACAGCCCAAGCTCCAAACTCCCAAACTCTCCTCCTAACCTCCATTGGATCATATCCAAAATCACTCGCCGGTAAACTTCCCCACCCCAGCGCACCTTTAGGAGCAATTAGTGCCTCGGCGGCCTTCACAATCTCGGGTCCAATTATTGGAGTTGTGTCTGTGTAAGGTGCAACTTGTGCATCGAAATCTACTACCCAGACTACTAGCGCCGAGAGGTTTTTCTCGACGTGGAAGAGGACGCTCCAGTAAATAGAAAGAATGGATAGGATTGCTATGGAGAGGATGACGGCTAGGTGATGTTAGTGAGAGGGAGCAAGATATCAGACCACATGTTGTCAAAAGGCACAGCGATACAGAACTTGGATTTATAGCAGAGCAGAACAGACGCAATCATATGCTGTTATTTTCACAAAGACTTTCGATCACTAAGATCCTCTACCCCTCCTGGATTCTCATGTGATTGAACTACAATCTAGCAGTCGAAACCCGGCATACCCAACTTCTACGCATCCAACAAACACACTCAAAGGCCCAAAACGAAAAGGAACATACTCGTAATAATCCACTTCTTAACAACGTATTTCCTCGTCACGTTTAAATCGCGATGCCAGAATCCCACCGGACGAGTATCTTGCTCATCTTCATCATTCGCCATTTTTAGCTTTGGTGTTTTGGAATCTTGGTTATGTGATCCGAAATGGCTGTCGGATGCGGGATATCGATGTTGAGAAGATGTGGATGTTCTTGATAATAATACAGCTCGAGATTTCGAAGGAGTTTACTATTGTCGCTAGAAATCAAGAATACAAAAATCTCACATTGCCTCCTGGAAATGGCTAGAATCATATCAAACTTTCACAATCTAGAAGGAAATCCAACATGATCGATCATTCTTGGCAGGCACTGTTAGGGGAACTTCCCCAATACGATATTTATCTAATAAGCCAATAACAATCTAGGAAATTACAATTGGTGTAAAATCTCGATATCGAAGAGATCGAAATCTCATCAGAAAGATGCAATTATCAATGATGTCACTATATAATTGATGTGATGTGATGGACGTGCGAGTGATCCTTGACCTTTGTTTGCTCCATGGAGTATGTCATTGAACGATAGCGGTTAATAAGTGGTTCGGCATTCAACGATTGTCAACAATTGTCATCAATTGCAATCGCTTTGTCATTGTCATTGACATCAAAATTATTGGGTTTGGGGATATATGAGAATCCCGCGTGACTTCAACGTCGTATACGATACAACTCCAGAGGGTCCAGAGGACGTTAGGTTCTTTTGCCTAGAAACTCGGCCGAACGACTAGGAGATTAGAGATTGTTTGATTATGAGATTTGAATTTTGAAAATTAGAAGAAAAAGTACATTCTAAAATCCGAAGGCATCTTGAATGGTGGAGGGTGAAGTGGACAGCACCGGTGTTCGGCTATTCCTCCTAGTTCGCGAGGGGGTATCAAGCTTTTCTATCCGATCCTCATTCTACCTCTTGATCTTGATTCCGTTGCCAAGAACATGCATTGTGGTAGGCACAAATTTTGTAGGGCTATTCGTCATCTAAAGGGGTTGAAAACGAAGATGGGACGAGATGTTACACTCGTTGACGGTTGTTATACCATACTTTTGCAACCATCCGATATGAATCTAAGGTCCCTTGATGGTTCATGCCATGTCATGTTAAAAGGTTAATCTTTGATTTTTGACCATCGTCCACTACCTAACCAACATCAATCTGATATGAGACATTGAAATCATCAATATCTCCACTAGATCCTAGCTTATGAGACATTAACACCCAGATTGACACAAAGATTAGATTGTAATCAATTTAACTCTATTTTCCCGCTTATTAGTGACGATGCAGGGTAAAGAAGGTATGGTTGACCAAAACGATGTACATACTAAAGATATTGATGTGCCATCAACACTTCAGATAAATTAAGAGTACTGCCCTACCCATATTACAACCCAAAGTGGACGCGAACGAGTTTCATTACCAGTTGCATCTGAACTCTGCGACATCATCATGGCAGATAAAATGCAAGGCACAGTGTGAAGGCTTGCCAAAAGATTGATATAGATCACGTGAGATTACCCCAGACAGGGTCTGGAGACATCGCTTGGAATCAGATCGTACATCTGCGACAGGGCTCGTCCCATATCAACGCCATCATATCAATTCATCCAATCACGGATAATTCTTGAAGCTTGACATCTTGATGCGATGAGACAGTTAGAGGAATATCATGCTTTCGATGTCCCAGCTTTTGATGGCGGTTGACTTGACGCGAATGTCCTGCCATCATTCATCTTATCTTCTTCAGATATGTCGGATTTAGAACCTGAATGGTTGTCAAAATGGCCGTTGAATGACCCCGTATCATCATCTGAGACTGGTAGTGAAAAATCTGAGTGTCAAGGGAGCTATTTACCATGCAAGAACCAACTTCATCCCATGTACCATGGCCAGTCCGGACAGCCACCGGTAGACACATCTTCTAGACTTCAGACTTACATTCGATATACTATAACATATTAGTCCAGTACTCAAAGCTTTTTTAATGGCGCTTGCTTCAACAAGCAGGATTCATCAGATGAAATTAAATCCTTGACCATGTTCTTCTCCCTGTATGATCTACGAATTATTTCAGAAACCCACAAGTGTGGAAAGTCAGGGTAATAGGGAGGAAGCATGCGCCCTCGTCCTCGTTTTCTAGATCTTATTGAGTGACTAAAGTGTTGATGATTCAAGATATAAGATCTACCAAGTCGCCAAGTGAATGACACTTTTTCCTCATCACCTTCGCAGCTTTTCTTTCAGCTCTATCTACATTCTCTTCTTGTTCAGTTCTGAGAACTTTAACTCTTATACATTCTTTAAATCTTAACTTTTGCAATAACTCTACATTCAACTTAGGCCGGTCCTTCTTTTTACACTTACTTTAGTCTATTATCATCTTTCTACAAACTTCAAATTTCTACCACTATCAACCTAAATTACCAATATCATCATCATGAAGTACGAAACCGCAACACTTTTGATCGCCGTTCTTGGCTTTATATCTGCTGCTCCCGTCGCAGAACCAAAGAACACATTCACTCTTCCATCGATACCAAAGCGAATGCTAAGAGGACGTGAGGTTCCTCAAGAACATTCCCACAATCGATTCCTCGATGGTGTTCGTGTCAATCTAAACATCAACAATCCAAACAAGATCCAAGATCCAGTATTTGGTCTTTTGGGTAATGCTGCCGCCATGACCGGAGCTGGAACAATCACCAACCCCGATTGTCTTCACCAAGCTACCGCCGACCAAGCTTTCACCAACGCAAAAGCTGCTAATAATGTAACCGGTATGGCTGATGCATTGATGTATGCAGCGCTTGAAAGAAACACAGCATCAGTTGGTGTTGCATCTGTCATTTGCAACGAAACTGCCGTCAATCCCGAGATTCAAGCCGTTCAACAACATCAAGATCCAGCCTCACCAAACGCTGCCGCTACCAATAAAGCTATTGTCCTTTCACTCGCTAAACAACTTGCTTCTATTGGGGCAGATCCTCAAGAAGCTCTTCTTTCGGGTACATTCGCACCAGGAACTCTCGGTGACCCAACTGCTGCTGGCAACACTTGTGACGACGAAGCTGATTCACCTGGTTGCATCTTTACACAAAATCTTATCGTTAATGATGCCACTGCCGATGAAATCACCGCGGCTGTCGCAGGGGTTTCGGCAAATTCCACTTCTGTCGCTACCACCACTTCTATCTCATCGAGTAACTCAACTTCAAACTCTACAGGTAGTGAATGTGCCGCTGCAGTAACAAGTACAATTACCGCCGTTGCCGCCGTCGCGACGGGTTCATCAATGGCCTCTCTCGCTTCCGTTGCTTCCGTTGCAGCAACCTCAATTGCATCAGTCGCCTCTTCTGCATCCGCTGCAGCTGCTTCATCTACTACAACTAGTGCCACAGGAACAAACGTCCAAACTTTCACCGGAACACTAGGTGGAGCACCTCCTCCAGTTGTGTCCTCTGCAGGCGATCGTCCTTTCTCGGTTAATGGAGATTCATTTGTGGGTGAAGGAGCAGCACTTCAAAGAAGTTGTAGTGTACAACATAATGCTTGTGCGAGCGCAGCGAATAGTGGGAGTTTAGCTGGTGGAGTGGCACAATGTGAAACGCAAGAGACGGCTTGTAATGCTGCATCCGGGGTGGCGAAGAAGATGAGACGACAAGCTATGATGTTTTAGATGTAATTTAAGGCTTGTTTGTGCTATTAATACTGGTGAATGGGGTGGTGGGATGTATAGATGGTGGATATGTACGTGGTATGATGTGAGAGGAATATGGTGATTGTAGGAATACAGAGAATTCATGGAAGAATGAAGATGCACGAATATGTAAGAGATGAGATGAGAATGGGAAAGAGCGAAAGGAAGGCTTGCAGGCTGTGTGGCATTCGATCTGTAATGATATAGGTATAAGAATATACAATTGATACCAAACAAACACTTTTGAGATTCCGTTTGGCAAATCATTTGACACCTCTCGAGTTTGATGTTATTACATGGAGGAGATCATCAGTGGGTGGGTGGATTGATGAGACACTTCCCAACTTTCCAAATTTTGTTTCATTTCTAATGAATGATTGTAACAATTCTTAAGATATATGATTTAATATACCAAGAGATATTTGCAAGTCAATTTTTGCAATGTCCTGTCAGTCCGTACACTCACTGGTAGACATATTCACAAGATCGAATTGTCAAGGATGTTGAGGATTATATTTGACCGAGTCATTTGTAAATAGAAATTTATGATATCATTATACGTATACTAATTTTGAAAGAGTGAAATATACACAGAATAGCAGAATCTTCAAATCATTATACAACAGCGCACCACCTAAACGTACCGCTGTGTATCCAAAAAAAATATGGTATCACCGCATCTCAATCTATTCATCCAACTCCTTTTCAAGTCCAGTCCTCAGCATACTAGTTTTCGTTTCGCTTGTCCGGAATTCCCGTCTCGACATTATCTCTCGACACTATCCTCAATTAAACACTTCCACTGCTTCCCTCGCTCCCCTCCTTTTTTCTCCCTAAACTCTCGACTACCCCAAGATGCAATTCCTTGGCAATTCCACTTCTTCCGTTGTTTCCTGAGTTTGGAACTACCTCGGGATTTTGGGCATGTCCATAACCTGTTCCTGCTCCCTCAATTGTAACTTGTCTTTGAATTGGACCACCTTGTTCATATACCGCGGTGTTGGCATCGACGGTATCGAAATGGATTGGTACCGTTTCATGTGCGAGGAAAAGATACCAGTATACACCACCGCAGAAAACGCCACCGCCGACGATGTTACCGAGGAGGGATGGGATCAATGATTTCCAGATGTAGTAGTTTACTGTAAGGGGAGCAGGTGCTCCAAGGAAGATAGCGAGGGGAATGAAGTACACTGTGAGTGGTGACGCATTAGTGGCTTGGACTAGTAGGGCTGGTGCCAATAACTTGGCAGGGGAATCATGCTTGGCGTCTCGTTCACTTGCACAACATGCGATATTTTACACATGGAAAGAAAATGAAAGGAAATGGAATACGAACTATTAGCAATAACGTGATCAGTTCCCAAACCGACGAAGCACATTACAGGAAACCAGATAGCAACAATTTTGGAGAGAACTTCGCGGGACGAGATGGCGAGGAATACGGCCATACAGACGAGCCAATTACCTGTGTGATATCGTGAGTAAAGATTCTTAAAGCATTGTTCATGTTCGTGTGGAACTAAAATGTTACACCGGAGAGGACAAACGTACACATAATTGCCTTGAGGAAAATTTGATGCCATTCTGGGGTAACTGCCTTTCCCTTTGCAAATGAAAGAGCTTCCGCTTTGTATGCTCCAGTTTCGAATGTGCCGCCGTCTAATTGTCTGTTAGCATCCGATAATCCACGGTTCCGAACAAAGTTGAGCACGGATACTTACAACCAGTAAGGACAGCCATGAAAAACAAAGCTCCCGCCAAATTTCCGAAGAAACTGACAACCCAGGTTTTCAACAAATCCAAAAAGCTACAACGTCTGTGCAATAAAGCGACCACACTGTACATGCAATAACTTGTGAACAAATCGGCTCCCGTCAGGACAACCATGATCAATCCAACAGGGAAGACCATCGCAGAGATGGTACGGATAAGACCTGGAGCATTTGTTTGAAACCATGGGGAAGAATTGGTGGAGAGAGAAAGAGCGCATCCAAAAGAAATGAGACATCCTCCCATGAAAGAGTTGATGAACATTTTGTCAATTCTCATACGGGCTTTTTTGGCACCGATGCGCGAGACGAGCTCGGTCGTCTATTGGTGCGAAACATGTTAGTTGAGAATGTGTGAAGCTCTGAAACGTGTATAAACTTGCCTGTGCTGGAGTAAAGGCGTCCATGGCTTGAAATGTGACGAAAATAGCTTGTCGAGATGTGATGTGCCGAAACCAAAGAAAAAAGAAAGTTTTGTTTTAAGAGAGAATAAAACAATAAGAAAGAAGACGGCCAAGACATTTTGAATAACGGTTACCCGTCAGAAATGATTTGAAGACGATCTCGCCTCGCGGTAACCATTATTGTGAGATAAGACAAGGACCCATATCAAATTTCTCAAAAGTGTACAGGGCTAAAAGTCCTTAAGAGGCACAGTACATTGTGACGGTAATGATTATGAAGCTTAGTCCCACAATTACCCCAGTAGAGAAGAACATCATTCGTTGAAAGTCTTGCCGATGGTAAAATACCCTAGTAATAGCTGCGGAGAACCATGCAGATATATTTCCTCAATTGACATTGGCTGTAATGGCTATGTTCATGGAGCGCTTAGTATCTTTAAGTAACATTGAGTTCTCTCAAAGAATGAAGTAAAAAACAGACGGGTGCCATTTTGAAGCAATTTTTCCCGAGAAAACTCGCTAATGATGAAGGAGGTGAAAACTTAGATAAGAGATAGTGTGGGGGACAACGATTATGGCAGTATAGTGCTGACTGTACTGGCGTAAATGATTCAGAGAAAGTGATAGAAAAATTGAAAAAATCATGCAAACAAACCGAACTTCTGTTTCTGTAAAAACCATGCGTCAAACACCCTTGGGTATTGGACCTTGGTCCATCAACTTGTGGGGCGGGAAGACATGATCCCTCTCCGGTATCTCCGCTTACCCGCCCCCGTCACTTTGCCTGTCGAAGTTCCCACTCGCATTGCCGAATTGAACGATGTACATGACACCAATTTCGACTCCTTTCTATTCAAAATTCGAAAGAGTCCACTGAAATCCAAAGAAAACGCGCATGCGGCTCACAGTTCATGTGTTCAACTGACTGCAATGCTGAAGATCCCCTGAGATTTTCATTTGTTGGTATCTGACAATCGAAATCACTTGTCGGGTTCGCATTTCGATTTTGCCCTTGCACCAGTCCTTGCTGGCTATCATATAGTGGTGGAAATCGGTCGTCTATCCATATGAAGTAATTGCTTACCTGTCATGCAGAAAATTGCTGCTGGAAATCCCAACGGACCGGATATAACTGCCGTGTCGCTCCCATAATCCAATACAGTCCTTGACATGAATCCACACCGGCGATTCGTCTTGCAAGTTGCCACCTCAGACCACTCAAGCATATTTAAATTATTGGGAAGCTGGTCGGTACTTGGTAGGATAAAGCAAATTGGAACAGGCTGCATGTCGGATATTCATTTCTCAAAGTATGTAAGTTCCGAAATTCGTAGGCATCGGTGAGAGAATAACGCGTATGGATATTGAGTGAATCGTTTAGTAATCCTTTGATTTCGTCGAAGTAGGTATATAGCCTTGTCCAAATTGACGAATCGCAATCCACGCACACAGCACACGGCGCACAACAAGACAATCGCCAGATTGAGTCAGGACATCGTCCAGGTAAAAGTGTCCAGGCTTCGAAATTATTTGGTAGAAAGCTTTGAAGAAAGTATCGGATCGGCAATTGAACAGGCTCGCGGATCGCAATGAAAGACTCGATAATGTGCGGATCGAATGGATATATATCAAGTTGAAATCTGGAAGGAATTACGAGAATCCTGAAGGTGCTATTGAGTTGTCAGTATCGTCGTCATTCTCTGCGCATCTATGGATTGTCAGTGACAATCTTTGAAGCTACTCGAGTGTGCTTAGCACAGCAAACGATGTCTATGGAGCTAGCAGATAGTCTGAGACCTTAACACCCACAAACCTTGATACTTTCATACTTCATACTTCATACTTTTCACACAATTCTCAGCAAAAGAGTACTCATTGTCTCACAGAAAAACAGATTTTCTGGATTTGCTTCGATTCTTATGTTTTATTTGTTTAAAAAGTTCGAAATGAGATTACCTTGGTGATTTGACGACAATACCGAATCCCGAATACCGAACTTCTTAGGGGAAGCTTGGGCCGTCAATACCAAGAGTCGATACTGTTGATACCTCAGATTACCTCGATATTACCGAGTTGAGTTGATACCATTTGACCTCTATAATATCACACGGGTATATCGTACAAATCCATTTGTGGTGGCTAGGTCTTGAAGAGTATTGAAATCAACGCAGCTTTGATAGGGAATGGAACATTTATGTATGGCCTACCCCTTCCCTTCATCACAGGGGACATGATTTTGATTATCACTGGTTTGCAGCAGTTTGGGATAAGATGGGCACTTTCAACATTGAGAAAGATCGTTCATGTTGAATACCTAGAAGTTCTCAAGTGTTAACAGATATGAACTTCATCTCGTCAGATCCATTGACCAGATTAGCATTTGAACATGTTCGAAGCTGCCATCCAAATATTAGGTTTACTTGGGAAGTATCGACACCACAAATCATGGTACCTACTTCATTTCATCTGGATGAGACTATATTCTCTTCATCCTTCATGTTGTTTAATTGTGCTTTGGCACAATCGACCCCAATTACAATTGCTCAAGCATTCAATAGAGACATTAATATAATCGAGCTCCGAGTGCATCTTTACCTCTTCGATCTTTAACCTAGCATTGGCATTACAAGCTTTGGACGCAACAAAACGACATCTTCGACTGTCAGAATTCGACTGATCAGCCTCTCAAACATCGATCAGACTTCTGAAGATTCAATTCGAATTGCAATGAATACAGCCGCTAAACAACCGAATGAACAGCCCTCGGAGGAGAGAAAAGACTCAAAAGTTGACACAGATGATATAAAGACAGAAGAATCCACTCGTCCAGAGGCTAAACTATATCCGGACGGATCCGTGACCATTCCTCGAAAAATCGGGACTTATCATACCCGTTCCGTCATTCTTGTTCATGACGTCTTTGATGATGCCGCTGGCTGGGCTAAAGAATTCATGGAAGCAAGACTGAATGGTGAAACCATTATGTCCATCTTTCCTGGAACAAATTGGTGCTTTCCTGAAATTTATTATCCCTGGTTGGTCCAGGATATAGAGAGCGAAAAGAGCGATGCGACTGATGACATGGTCGATTTATGGAGTGCATATTCAGACACCGTTCAAATGGAAAAGCGATTGGAGATACTCGAAACGCTAGGGCAGATGCTGGAACCCATCCGACAACTTGTCGACAGAGAATCGAATCTTGTAGGTATACGGAATGTCTTCATAGGCGGTTTAGCAGACGGCGCTACTGCAGCACTGCATTTGTTTCTAGCTAGTCAAGGGAACCAAGGTGGTGGGATGGGAGGGTTCATAGGAATGAATGCCGTGCTTCCATTTCACTCGGAGTTCAAGCCGCTGATAGATACGGCACCAAACTTGGAGGATTTGTCCCTGGAAGAATATATAGACAAACAGATACAAAACCTTAAGGCAGTGGTGAGCTTTATGCGAAACACTTTGGGTCTGTCACCCGCGGGAGGTTTGATAGGGCATTTGCATATCAGGGAAACCCAATATTCCTTGGTAGTATCATGTCAGACCCAGCCAATTTAGAACTCAGGCAAAAGAGGGAGGATATGATAGAGATCCTTCGCCGCTTGAGATGTTTTCACCCTATATACTTTACAAACGACTACAAGGAACCAGATCTCGATGGGCAAGTTGAGGGCTTGGTTGAATACCTCCGAATGACTGGCTCTATCAGAGTTCCTGGATGATTCAAGTAAATGAAACAGAGAGAGAATGGATGAAGAATGGTTTCATCAACAAAGAAAAATTGAGAAATTGATTGGATGTCAGCAGATTGGAGACGCTGGATCGGCATTGACGAATTCGAGTTAGGGTTTAGTATGATAGTATAAATCTTACTATCCTTCATTGACAACTTCATTCGTGTATTAATTGTTGTGCGTTTCAAGTATATTCCAATCCACCACCATCATCAAATGCACCTTCTCCATGAAAGTTCACGGCAATCATTAGGCGGCGTCCGTACGCCAAGCAATTCCCCACCTTCCACATAAGGTATGAAATATAAGCAGCCAAGACCATGTGCCGAAATGATTTGATGCTTATCAACTTTATCTTTAACTCTAAAGGACAATGTCGCTGTCACGAAAAAGGGTCTTCAAGCCTTATGCGTGCCAAGAATCAGCAAATGGAGTTAATGGGGTCGATTGCCTTCTTTGGGAAGCTCAACACCATCGTAAAGATTATGGTTCACAGGCGTGTGGGTGAGATTAGGTATGATAGGATAAAGGCAAAATGGATTTGGGAAAAGGTAAAAGTGACATGAATGGGGTGGAGGAGACGATAAACATGTGAATGCCGATTAGAAATGATTCCTCTTGATAAAGAATCCGGAGTGAAAGCAACAGTGTTCGCATGCCGCCGTGCCCAGAAATCGGCCCCAGAAATTAAGATGGGGATATTTTGATATATCCCATTGTTCTGATCAGCATGAAGTTATAAAAGACTGGTGTTGCCATCTCATGTTCTTATCTTCACCCTTCTTCTCAATTCAATAATACAAGTATACTCTCACAGTTAAACTTCATTTCATCATGCTTAAAGGTCTTTTCCTCACTGTTCTAGCAACGGGACTTCTTGTCCAAGCAACTCCAGTTCCAATGCCCGCACCAACCGGAGTACCAACCACAGCTACTGCTAATACCGAACTTGCTAGTTTGACTGTGGCTGTGGCCGGAAGTCAAGATGGCTATGCGAGAGATTTGTTCCCTACTGTATGTTCCTTTGTTCATTCAATCACCTCCTCATCTCATTCCTTGCATTTCACCATCCTCTTTCTCTCTCCTCCACCTTGTCCAGCCTACTCACATACCTCCCCAATTTACCCAAAACCCAATCTAATACACTTATCTCTAGTGGATCACTATCTCCGGCACTTGCAACACACGTGAGACCGTTTTGAAGCGCGATGGCACAAATGTCGTCGTTGATTCCGCCTGTGCTGCCACATCGGGAACCTGGGTATCTCCATACGATGGTGCAACCTGGACTGCCGCCTCCGATCTCGATATCGATCATCTTGTTCCCTTGAGTAACGCTTGGAAATCAGGTGCTTCTGCATGGACTACAGCTCAACGCCAGGCTTTTGCCAATGATCTCGTCAACCCGCAATTGTTGGCTGTTACCGACAATGTCAACGAGAGTAAGGGAGACAGTGGACCAGAGGATTTTAAGCCTTCTTTGAGTAAGTTCTTTTCTTGTCCTGGCCATTCGTGTGAGGGGTTGTTTCCGTTGTCGTCTTATCCGACACGCATGGATTCGGAGCTGCATAGAAGGAAAAAGCGGAGAAACAAGCGAGATTTAGATGAATAGAAGGATACTAACAGATTCAATAGCTACATACTGGTGCACATATGCAAAGATGTGGATCAAGGTTAAATCTGTTTATAAACTTACGGTCACAAGTGCGGAGAAGGCAGCATTGGTTACTATGATGGCTACTTGTTAGATGACTAGCATTTTTTCGGTTAAATGAAGGGGTGAATGTATATATGTGGCCGAGCTTGAGATGATTTACGATGAAACGAAATGAGAGTAGCAGGACAGAATCTAAGGAATTGAAGTTACAGTGGGAGGGAGCGGAAGTGAGATGATTTGATATGGCCGATGGCTCAGGAGTTATGGTGTTCATGTTCAATTTATTTACTAGAGATCTGACTGAGGGCAGACGTGAGGAGTGGAAAATCACAAGGGATTTACAAAAATGGTAACAATTTTGCCTAGAAATTATGTTCCAATGACTCATTGACACGATTGACTATTTATGATATAAGATATGATATCTGTATGATCCATCCTTGTTTCGTAATAAGATATTGATATATTGCTTTTTTGCTAAAAATACATGTTTTCATGATCATTATCAACCTTCATTAAGCATTCCATTCATCCACTCATCCCTCACTTCTTATACGTTGTAAGACTTGGAGTACCCGGGGCTGCTGGTGCAGAAAACTTCGTCTGCACAAAAACTTTCTGCATTCCATCTTCCTTATTCTCAAACTTGTAGTAGACATCATCAAGTTCATCCAATGAAACCCGATGAGATACCATTTGCAAAGGATCAAATTCATTCTTCTCAATCATTTCGAGAAGTTTTTCCCAATACATATGTACTGGGGCTTGTCCATTACCAATAAGTCGGATACCACGCTCCATCAAGGATCCGATATTGAAGTGGTTAGTGTAGCCGACATACACACCGGTGATACCACATCGACCGAAGTTCTTGACGGATGTGATCATTTCGTTGATAATCTCGGATGTGTCTGTTTCCATGCCGAGCATCATCTCGAAGTAGTGGGCCCAGCCTTTGGCATATTCACCTGCTACGCACTCGAGTGCGACATCGGGTCCTCGAGGAACCATCTCCTTTAGTTTGGAGGTGACTGAGGTTCCCCGAGGAAGCTTACTATAATCGAGAAGTTCGACCTTGGGGATTTTAGACTTGACAAAGTCTAATCTCCAGTTACTGTCAATCATGATCACTCGTGATGCACCGTTCATGAAAGCAAATTCTGCACACATCTGTCCAATTGGGCCTAGATATGGTTAGAATGATTGACTGATTGGTTGATAATAAATACTTACCAGCACCCCAAATAGCAACTACGTCTCCTTTTTCGACTCCGGTGTCGACAACGCAGTTCCAAGATGTACAGATGACATCTGATAAGAAGAGACCCTTCTCATCTGGAACATTTGATGGAAGCTTGAGAAGATTGACATCCCCGAATGGAACTCTAACATATTCTGCTTGACCACCTGCAAATCCACCAGTGAAATGAGAGTAGCCAAACATTCCTGCTGTTCTTCCTCCATACTATCAAAGTTAGCACCTGATATCCTTTAGATGACCAACATCTGAACATACCATTCCATTTTCAATAGTATTACTATTCGTCTTTTCACATTGTGATGATTGTTTCTTCTCACAATAGTAACAATCGCCACAAGCAATCTGGAAACTGGCAACCACACGATCACCCTTCTTCAACCCCTTAACAGCTGGGCCCATGGACTCAACTTCACCACAAAACTCATGACCGAGAATATCTCCCTTCTCCAACTCTACAACCGAGCCATGAAGTAAATGAAGATCGCTTCCGCAAACAGTACTTCCGGTAACTTTTAAAATCACATCTCTATCTTCAACGACTCTTGGTTTTGGTACTTCTTCTATTTATCGAAGAGAGATATTAGATGTGTGATGATGATATTATCGATGGGAGAAACTTACGCATCTTGACGGTATTTTTTCCCATCCAGCATAGAGCTTTCATAGTCTCGCCACTTGGATCCGCATACTTTTGACGATCCCGTGCTGGATTTGTTACGTCTTGTTCGGTGACAGCATTGATATCATGTCCGACGACTTTCTCGAGGAGAGCTGCTGCTTGACTAAGAGCCATATTGAATTAAGTAATTTGATTGATTATGTTGTAGTTTTTAAGTTAATATGCAAAAGAGAAAATAGATGTCGAAAGTATGGTATTCTTATATCGAAATGTTAAGCGCGGGGAAGAATCACGATCGATAAAGACATCTACGTCATATTGTTAAGTCGTTAATCTAATCAACGACGTCAGTGGTTTTAGATTGTCGATACCTTGTATATTCTCGTCACATCGATGAAATATACTCGATCTTTTTGCTTTATAAGTGATTTGTAAAATAAACTCTACATTTTCCTCTCGTATTATACGAGATATACATTTGTTTTATTTGTTATTTATGACAATGCAAAGACTCAGACATGAAGGACTCGGTTAAAAGTAAACGTGATAATCACGTGTTGTTTTCAGTAACCACGCCGTAGTAGTCGCAACAGATCGCGCAATCAACTTGAAAGATCTAATTTTCGTGACACCCGTTATGACGATTTCAAATTTTTTAAACCAAACAGTCTTTTGAGCTCAAGATTTCGTCTTCCGGTCTTTTCTCGCTGGAATCGGATCAGCCACCTCGCCTACTTTATAAGTTTATAAGAAGAAATGAGAGTAAAGAAAGTTGTGGTTATTCAATCTTTCGCTGGACAACCATTCGAGTCCTCAAATTATCGCTGTGGGTGCATAGTGCAAATAACAAAACATGTTCCTTTTCCCCATGTTCTCATACACTCTTTTGATACCATCCTACCATACATCCATGATACTCAAGTCGCGTGTGAAGACTGAAGGCACGCAATTCCATATAATCGTCATTTTCCCACTTCAGGTCTCTTACGAACGCATAATCATTCGACCACACCTCCCTGCCTCGGAAGTAATACCGGAAAAAGATGTAATTCGGGACTGATGGAATCGCCATTAATGCTGCAGCTACTTGGTCTGTCAGCTCGTGCTCAGGTACAGTGTGTGATATAGGATATTACACCGTAACTCTTCAATACATTTCGCCGTCGTCTTTGTGCTCTGGACTGCCATTACGATATTTTGTCTATTAGATGGATCTCTACTGCACTCCCAAGATCTATCGTGATCGCGTTAGTTGATTTTAACCACAGCTAAGATGCACAATTGACTTACTGGTAATAAGGTAGATACACTGGAATATAGAGGAGATCTCCAGATTAATACAATTGTTAGCAGCCAGTATATTTGTAAGGAGTGAATGTAGAATCGAACCTGGTTCAACTAAATAAGCACTTCTTGGAAACGAGCAGAACTTGTTTGACTTGACACATTCAAAGCAAGGCTGGACATTATTACATGGTGGACCAAGAGGAGAATCACGGCTGCAGGAAAGGCATGGTTGCGAGAGAATCAGTTTGGGGGGGAATGGCGGGCCAGAGTTAAGTGTGTATCCATCTGGGATTGAAAGACGAAGATTTCTCGGATCTGTAACACCAGAGTAATTCTCAACTATAGGGCCAAAGTTGTAAGGAGCTGGAGGTCTGAAATTATTGGGAACCAAAGGATTGGGATAGTTTCGAAGCTGAGTACTAGAGTTATTGGGAGCCAGAGGATTTGAGAACCCGGGAAGTGTAAAATTAGAGGTATTGGAATGTGGACGACTAAGATTCGGCAACCTAGGAAGTGTAAAATCAGACCGATTGGAATCTGGAAAACTAAAATCTGAGGTCTTGGAAAGTATAGTATCAGACTTATTGAAATCTGGAAAACTAAGATCCGAGGTCCTGGATAGTGTAGTATCAGATCTGTTAAATCCTGGAGGACTAAGATCTGAGATCATGGGAATCGTAGCATCAGAGTCATTAGAATCTCGTGGACTAAAGCCGATTGAAATTTTGGAATCAGAACCCATTGCCCGTGATTCCCTTTGGATAGGAGTGGGCTAAAAGGTTATGTTGGTCTGGTAGATGAGAGTGTTTTTGATTTATGTTTCTAGAATGATATAGAGTTATTTCTGTCTGGTGGTTGGGGGTAGCAATTTTTCTTGTCCGTGTTTTTGATATTAACATGGAAAGTGCTCATAATAGTTGGTACGATGCTAGCAGGATAATTGATAACGTATCATAAGGTAACTGCGATCAAGTGCTTGATTTTCTGGCAGGAAAATTTACAACTTCGTAATCCACGCGAGTCGGTCAATTGAATCCAAGGGATCGATCAACTCAGTGGTCTATTCCGGGAAGCGAGAAGAAATAGAGAAAAGAGGGGTATGCCATGAGATTCGGGTGTTTGTATTAACCAAGAATTTCGGTCAGTTTCATGATTTTCAAACTCGGCTGGGACATTTGAATACGAACTCAAAACTTCCTTAACTTACAAATTACAAACTGTGAATTGAATCGTTTAGGGTTCCGACTCCGATTCACCCTAACACCATCTCGTTACGGCCCAGTCCATCCAGCCCACACAGCTCGACATTGAATCTCATCGCCCACCCCTCCTTTCCTTCGTCTGCCATATGTTGTCAAAAAGTCCACTGCAGACGAATTAAATCCCCTCGTCGTCAAACAACTTAGCATACACTGATTCTCCTCCATCAAACACGCTTCCGACTAACGCATCTTCACCTATGATCTGTGTTCTGAGAAGAAAAAACTCGAAGTGTAAATTCTCCGGCAATTCATATTCCCTTGATAATGCATCTATATGAATTTGTGATCAGTATTTAGTTTCTTTAAAGTTCGTTCATAGTATCAGTAGATTTACTCACTCTCAAGGCCATCGAGGAGATCATGCGTGTTTGCTGACTCAAAGGACTCAAAGTAACGACTGAATCTATAGAACGCGGCTCAGCAACAACCTTGGTGCGGTCTAGAGATTGAGTTTGCCGCACTTACCCACGACCAGAAGAACAGGATCGATGCAATTGAAAGACCGTCATATATCTACCTTCGCGATATTCCTTACCATGCCATTGAGGTCTACGAAGCCGAGAGCGTGTGTCTCTTGGATATCGAGGATTTGGTCTGGAGTGTCGACTAGATGTGCGTGCACCGTACATCTTGGAATGACTTGATAAAATTCGGTAAAGGATTTATTTTGCTTTAGTTCGAAAAGGTGGAAAAACTTTATCTGAACTCGGAGGAGACCTTCGACTTATATTGCAAGGCATACCGTTTGAAATGGAACCTGTTGGGATTGCAGACTGCAAGAAAAAGGAATCCATGTAAGTCAATGCAAAGAGCTGCTCAGTTCAAAAGCTGGCTGTTTTCGATCAAATTATGCATTACTTGTGCTGAGAAGCGCTTAGGTGCAGCTTCGCACCGGCTACCTTCTAAGATAGGAAATTGGTGCGGGGTTAACGAGGAGATACCTTCCATCAAATAATACTGAGGGTGCTTCGTTTGATATGTTCCCCTGAGCTTCAATTCTTGATCTAAGGCTTCCTGAATGCCTAGATACTTCTCAATTTATCATGCCTGCTATATGCAAGAGGGTTGCATTGCAAAATTCTACTTTGCTTCACTCCGCAATGCTCCTACAAGTATTCATCGAATCAAAGGGAACATTCCAATGTCGTGGTAAAATCTCAGGCCTTTTTTACTGCGAGCGCTGTAGCAAAAGCTGGATTCTGGAGAAATTATCAAGAATATTTCCCATGGAATGTTATCTTCATGTTGATACTCAAATTGGTAGATCTATACTTAAACTCGATTGACAACGACGTCGTACACAAGAGAAAGCTGGATGAAAATGAGCCATTTTCATGATCTTATGATTGGCCAAAGTCTGGGACATTAGGTTCGCTCAACCGGTACAAACAAACCACTGAATCTGGGGGGGGCGGGGGAATGCACCTTCATGCGTCTACCCGTCGCCGTGAGAAGGATTCGAACGTGATTGGAAGTGCATTTTTCGCACTGTTAGGGCATTTTCATCTGCCACTTCGAGTGTCTAGATGGCTTGAGAATTTGGTGCATCAATGTTCGCCAGAATTCATCCAATCGAAAAGAGTTCAATTGGTCGTCTTATGTGTAAAAAACGATCTATACCATCTACACCCTTCAATACGTAAATTTGTCCCCTCGTACAGAATACTAGGTGTATTGAATCGCTCCTGTCAGATTTGTCAAGCAAATCTTACATCTTCGGGCCCATCCACCCATCTCCCACCAATCCTTTACGCAACTATGCGAATCTCTCTACCGCTCCCAGCCAACCTGGAAGCTCGAGCCGGGAATCAGCATCGCGACCATGATCGCCGGATTCTGATTCCCCTGTAACACCTCCTATCTCTCCTCTCCTCTTCCTTCTCCGCACGTCACCAGAAACAAGGCAAACCCCAACGTCATCTGACTATCTCCGAAACATGGCATTGCATTAAACATGCATTCGTGTTATGTATCTTCAATGTCCTTCTCCAGCTAGGGTTTAGTTACATTACTCGTCCTCGATCTCTCTTCATAGTATCACCACCAATTCACCTCGCCCATCGCATTCGCAACATTGCTGCTTGTTATGTATTTGATGGGGACCGCTGAACATAGTGGGCATGATTTTGTGCAACCATCCTTTACCAAAGAAAGCACATGATTTGCACCATGAGAAATTTGATATTTTTTATGAAACTCTGCATTTCATGGATCGGCGCATAGCACTAACCGTCCAAGCATGGATAAAGAGAAGGAGAATGAGCTCAAGCTCCCTGGAGAAGATCAAAAGGCGGAATTTTATATATACAAATCATTGGCTCATAGAGTAGAGAAGTTGGTTCTTAAAATAATCAAGTATAAAAAAAAAGTCTGCTGGATATTCAATTTGTATTTTGTTAGAGATTTATTTACATTTTAAGCAATCCAGAAAATGAATCTTGAATGATGGTGCACTAGCATGTAGGGTTTGATCTAACCACTTTACTACCTCGAGCTTAGCCAGATGCTCTTTCCCCTGCATGCCTCCCAACCTCGTAACCATTTTAAGTTGTGCAAACAACATTCAAACGCCGTTTCCAACCAACGCCGCCCAAGGATATAAGAGAAATACCATCAGAGAATCATTAAACTCATTGTTGGTCGTTCATGTTGAGTTCATCAAACTCGTCTAGCAACTCATTCATATCAATCTTTGGTGTCTCATCTTCGCCATCACTCGTCTCAGCCACACTCATAGCATCCGCTTCCTTCTGAGCTTGTTGAGCCTTGTACAAAGCAAGTGTCTGTCTGAGCTCAGGATCCTCCTCAACATCCTGTAAGAACATCTCATAATCTCTATCCATCTTTTCTTGATCTTGCTTCCTGGGTAAGACTTCTCCTTCTTCTTTACCCATACGCTTGAGACGCCAATTCCTGTTCTTAGACTTCTTCTTTCTTGCGTACAATTTCTTGACAAGCATTACATCAGGAATTTTCGATGCGTAGTTATTTGATTCTTCGAGGGCGTCGTATTGGGGGTTGTTGAAATTAGTACCAGTCATCATATATCCCATGACAGAGTCTCCAGGATGGACAACATTTCCGAGATGTGTTCTTGTGTAGAAGGTTTTGTCATTTGATCCGAGGTCAGATGCACGAGCAACGGTGGCCTCAGCAAGAGCCCATCGTCCCTTTGTAGGACCCAAGGGCTCAATGTCCATAATGATGAATTCCACCAATTCCTGAACATCAGCCAAAGGTTTGAATGGTGCACGCCAGTATATAGGGCAACTGATTTCCGCGGTCTGAAGGGATTGTGGGTCAAGGATGTTGATAGAATTACCAATTCGGTAGCAAAGACCAAGAGGGGAAATGTTTCCAGCTGACTTTGCTAACTTAATTGGAAGCGCAACCAAATCATCCTTACAAATTGGTACCAACTCGACAGAAAAGGAGAACTTGTAGGATTTGGTAGATGTGTGAATGTCCATGGAGATAAGTTCTTGAGACTTCTTTGCTGTAATAGGGGCAACCGAGTTCAAGAAGTCGACAAACTTTTCCGCCGAATTTCGTGCTGCGAAGAAAAAATCTAAACCATCCTTGACTTCCTTGATGTTAATAGTATCCTTGTGTGCACCATGCTTCAAGATCAATTGTTCGAGGTACAAAAAGGTTCTCTTGTGAGGAACCTTTTGTCTAACTTGCACACAAGCTCTCCATGTATTCGCGGTATAAGATTTCGCACAATCGGGACATTGCTGATAGGCAACCACATATTCGACCTCGAATGATTGTTGCAAGACGACGCCTTCCGATACCGAATCTTGTATAGTAAGCTTGACCTTGATTCTTCGAGAATGAGGTTCCGTCCAGATAAAACTCGCATCGATGATTCGAACTTTGTGTAAACCCCGAAGTTTCTTTAAGCAAAGGGCAAGGAGTTCTCGAGATTCGAGGGAGGCTTGGATCCAGGTTTGAGGTGGGAGCAACCATCTTTCGCAATCTCGACAGAAGTGTACAGTGGCTTCTCTTTGAATACCTTGCGATACATCGACGGTAAGCTTTACGCAATCATAGCAGAGAGCGCCGGCGGAAGTCGTTCCATCGATAGGAGCGCCACAGTTGCAGCAGAGAATACTTCGAAACTATCAGCGATAGGGACTTGGAGAAAATTCCTGAGAAGAAACTTACGTAGCACCAGTTTTTGGTTCTTGTGCCTGGAATCTGGAGGCAATAGATACCGGCGCGTCGTCAACATCCATAGCAGACATGATGGCGGGCTTTTTCTTGTATTTTTTCTTTTGATGGTGGGATTTTGATAAAAGAGAAAAAAGTTGCCCCGCAGAGATAAACGATAGAGAATGACGCCGCTAGGCACGCTAGGCTGGACCGATTAGTACGGATAGTCTCAGCGACCATATTGGCAATTGATTTCTCAGCACTCAGGCTCACAGGGATTATGAGCCATAATGATGAGTGATCAAAGGCAATTCAAAAGTCTGTCTTTCTGCAAATCAAAGAGTTCAAGTTTGAACTTTGAAATCTGTCCAATGCATGTTGAGATGAGCTGAGAGCTTGGTTTGAGAATACACGTGACTTATATCAGCTGTAAATCACGTGTGACATCAACTCCTCTCTGGTAGGAGAAGTCTGGGGATGGGGTGCTGAATATCTGGAATGTTGGTCTTGATTCAGGTGGAAATTGTTTCTAAAAGTGACGGGTAATAAACGTAACTATCTATTTCTCGATTCCCGATATATCCACTCTGTTATCACATTTCCCAAACAACATTCGTGATCGCTGAGCACAATTGCACCATCATTCATTGACCAATAACCACTCTAATATCTCAACGATCAACTATACCGAATTGCGTGCCATCTGTCTTTGCTTGCGTATTGGGCATCCCGAGCGTGTTACGATCTGATTGTTATCTATGATTAGATCTTGCGGAGTGGCAATTGAGGAGCAAGCTCCAATAAGAACCTTGTGTGATGTCGTTATGAAGAGTCGACAGGTTGAATGTGGTAGGTTTGGCGAATGCGTTATATTGAAGTTGCGAACATGCATTATGCCCAGATGTATTTAAGTCCTTCAAATTCCCGCTTGATTAAGAAAGCATGAGTTAAACATCTACATCCAACAACTGAAATCTTATAATAACAACCACCTTAAACAAAATGGCGCCTTCAGCAACAGAAACAGTTGCTCTTCCAACTCAAGTAAAGAAGTCTGTAACTGATAGATTCAGTTGCGATGAGCTTGGAAACTATAAAGAGCTTGCTCCCACGTCGTTCGATAAAGAAGCCGAAGAGAAAGGTCTTGGCAAATTTGCTGCTGCGTCGGTATGTGTTCTCCATAGTTCATTGCGTGTAACAACATTATTCTAATACCCAGACTCAGTATCCACATTATCTTCCAACTTGGGACGATACTACATACCCACCTCTCGAATCTTTTGAGCACAGAGACCATGGATTGGATGCCGATACAACCTATCCAGAACTACTTGCATCGGGAGTGGAGGCAGTTGAATTGACACCCGCAATGGGCACAGAAATCAAAGGTGTACAACTAAGCAAGTTGAGCAATGCTGGCAAAGACCAATTGGCTCGATTTGTCGCAGAGAGAAAGGTCGTAGCTTTCAGAGATCAAGATTTTGCAGATCTACCGATCGCAGACGCTGTTAAATATGGCAGTTATTTCGGACGACCTCATATCCATCCAACATCAGGAGCCCCACTGAATCATCCTGAGGTTCACCTAGTACACAGAGCAGCTGGTGACAAAACAGCTGATAGCTTTTTCGAGACTCGAACAAATAGTGTAGCATGGCACTCTGATATCACATATGAGAAGCAGCCACCGGGAACAACTTTCTTATATGTTCTTGACGTCCCAGAAACCGGAGGGGATACTCTCTTTGCTAATGGTGTTGAAGCATATAATCGTCTCAGTGATGCATTTAAAGAACGTCTGCATGGACTTTCTGCGACACATTCAGGTATTGAGCAAGTGAACGCCTCTCGTTATAGGAATGGCATTGCTCGCAGGGAGCCTGTCGTGAACGTTCATCCGATCATCCGAACGCATCCTGTAACTGGAGAAAAGGCATTGTATGTTAACAAACAATGTAAGTATACGCGGTCCCCACTCAGTTGGTTCGTCACTGACCTGTCTCCAAGTCACTCGAAAAATCGTAGGGTTGAAACAAGAAGAAAGCGATGTACTATTGGTAATGTCCTCCCCAATGTTTGAAATATATCGACGATTATCTAATCGTTTCGTAGAATTTCCTGTATGACCACATTGCACTAGGTGCCGACTTTCACGTAAGAGTCAAGTGGGCACCAAAAACTGTAGTTGTTTGGGACAACAGAGTGGCGACTCATACTGCTCTTGTTGATTGGTCAGGTGGAGCACGCAGACATCTCGCGCGTCTCACACCACAAGCTGAAGCACCATACGAGACGCCTTTCAAGGCATCATAATGTGCACATATTTCATGTAGTGGCGATGACCGCAATAAACCATTCAATTCAAATTTCATGAATAAAGCTTTCAACGAGGGCCGTGAGTCATGCGTAATATAAGAAATCGTGATGATAACTTTAACATATGGTTGTTGATCAATCATAAGAATGTCGGTATGATGTCGAGTTTCTTTTTGTCTTCCTCCTCCTGTTTCCTTCCAAGTTTCGTCTGGGCAATTCGTCTTGCTATCCTATCTTGAGTGGTAGATGAATGAGAGGACGGACCAGCCATCGGAGCTTTGGTAGATTTATAAACACTAGCATCAAGAGTCACAGGGATCCTCGACTTTGGTAGCTTATTAGGAGTTGCTGTTGTTGATATTTTCGGTAATCTGGCTTTTGAATTTGTATTCACAGCATCTTTCCCATTAATGGGTCCAGAGAATGAGAATTTTGGAGTCGAAACAGGTGCATCTAGATCATCATCGTCTTCGGAAGCTGTAGCATCTAGATCTAGATCCACAGCCTGAGTCTTACTTTTGATAGTCGGAGAGGACACGCGCTGTGAAACTTTAAATTTAGTGGGATTGCGAAATCCCGCAGCTGCTCTTGTAGTTTTGGTTGGAGAAGAAATATTCACGAGTGATATACCTCTTTTCTTCGGACTTGTCATCAGACCATAAAGTGATGTTCCAACAAAGGGCAAAGTTTCTTCATCACTATCACCAGACAGGCCATCTTCCTTTTCGCCAACTAGTTTCTCTAGAACGTTTCGCTGATCTTTCGACCTTGCAACTTCTTCGGCTTTACGTCTTGTTGCATCTGGCATTCTACCGACCACAGGCCTTGAGATCGAATTGATAGCATCAGCATTTCGTGTTTTGGCCATTTTTTCAAGTCTTTTATATTCGGCTGTGTGTAGATGTACAGTGAACGACTTTGCAACCGTCAAAAATTCGTCTTCGACAATACGGTATTTATCGTCATGCTCTCGACCTTCCTCCATGAAACTACTAATGGTTAGACACAAACGTTTAGATCATAAAATTGAACAAACCTTTCAGTGGGAGGTTCCGGTGGAGGCGATGTAGATGGCTCACGACCTTGATCAAAATCAGCGAGAGAATTAGAGCACTGCCTATAAGGGTACAAACTATGGCTTATGGCTTTGATCTGCTTAGGTGGATGGTTGGAACCATTATCGCTGTCAGAAGGAGAAGCTTCAACACGAGGGCGCTTTATAGACCTGCCGACCGACGCAATGGTTTTCTTTGGAATGGTTAGTGTAGTCGAACCATTCTTTTTCTTCCATGGAAGTGTTCTCATGATTTGATGAGAATCGTAATATTTGACGTGGGACCAAGCCTTGAAAATTAGAGATGCTGCCCTTGGTAATTACGGTGAATAAATAAGATAAGTGGAAGACCGGGTCTTTTTGCAAGATAAACTAAAAGTGGACGTGGATAATATTGGGTACACGACTAATTTCATTGCCGACAATAGTTTGTATAAATTCGTTCTTTGTTCAAAAATTTAATAAGGCCGTCAACAGAATGGCGGGAACGGAGTCTCTTTGCGAAGATAGGATTCGATAAGCAAGAAGTGAATGATCATTCGTCCTAGGTGTTTCAATCGGTTTCAACTTTGAACCTTCAGTCAGAGAAATGACCACGCGCCAAGCTATTCAAATGGATATCGTAACGAAAGCGATTCTCATGTACCGAGTGCAGCGGCGTGAATATGAAGAATAACGCAACGAGATGCTCTATCTACTGTCGATAGTTGGTATAATTGCTTGTTGATATCATCAAGCAACATCAAAGTATTCAGTGGGTGGGATGTCATGAAGTCGTCCGTGTGCCCTCACCACCAACCTTCAGCGCGGCGTTTCCTGCGCGCAGAAAACTTTTCCTGGTAGAAAGACTTTGAGTGACCAAACCAAAGCTTCAGCAGACACTGGATTGGGTGTAGCGGGATCGTCTGAAGAGTGTTGTAAGATGAGACGATAATGCAATGCGGCCTGTCGTCAAGAAATGCATTCACCACGAGTGCTTTCTTGATAGGTTCTTGTCGAGCCTGTTAATGGCCAATAACTAGATCACCGTCTCTAGTTCTCCGATCGCAGTCCTCAAATGAAAGGCAAACCACTTGATGCAGCCATATGCGTTCTGTCTGTCACAACACGCGAACAACACTGCCGCAAAGAGAAAAGCCAGTGATATCTGATCTGGGAGGAAAGGATAGTTAAAGTTAACTAGCTTGATACTTCCCGTAGTATTCTCGCAATTCAACCTTTATTTGACATCAGCTAAAGTCTTTGTATTGCAATCTTTCAATATGAAATATCCGAGACATCTCTTCCTTGTGATAAGGAAATCGTGATTCTGATATTGACGCGTTTCACCGCCATGAATCATCTGAGTTTTCTGGATGACCGTATCACGTGCCTTGTATGAGCCACGGACCCACTTTTACAGGGCGCAACTCTCCAGAATTGGACAGAAGCTTCGATGACTGTTCTAGAGCTCAGGGCATATTCATATCCTGTAGCCTACACTCTATCCTTCGAGCCCTTCACTTGACAGGGTACCAATAAAGGAGAAATCGCAATCAAAAGCCAATTTGACACGTATAAGAAAGACATAAAGCATACTTGACTCTCGTGCCAGTTCTATACTGCGCTTATCCTCCAATTTCTTCGTTTGTTATATATCAGCAATTCAATGTTCAGACCTCAGTTCGATATTGAAAGTCGTCCAAGGACAAAATAGGAGAGGAATATCATGTCTTCTACTAC